GGGGGAGAACCCCCAGACCCCCCTGAATGCTCGGTTTTTATTCACTCAACTCTTGTTCTTGTGGTGGTGGCGTACTACTTACAAACTTACACTTTGAAAGTGCCCAGAAAGCACCAAATAGCATCTCAAAACTGGGGGAGTGGACTACTCCTCACACCCCCCACAAAACAATTGGAACGTTTGGAAGTTGCATTTGTTAATTCCAAACCAATATAGGGAGTAACTGACCCCCCCCCCCCCTCTGTCTTACGCGATTTGATTTACGCGGCAAAAAAATTTGACAGTCTTATATTCTCTTTAGTAAGCTAAAAACCGCACCCCCCTTAGAGAAAAGTGTCTTACGGGCCTGTATACGGCGATCTCTTTCCGGCACAAACAGGATATTTTGATTTCTTAAAATTGTTTTATAAACAAGTATAATCTTTTTTCTTCATCGTCTGCAAATATGCATTTAAATTAAGCCAGGGTACCCCGATGAATGTACTGCATGCGTCGTGCATGCACTGTATGTACTGTCTTGCCCGTAGCAAGTTTTTTCCAATGAAGGGGGGGGGGGCTATTGCCAAGGAGAGTAACTTTTGACAGTTTTGGCAAAAAATCATGCGAAAAGTGATCAGAATGGTGAAAAATTGCATGGTTTGAAAGGTTTTGAGGCCATGGCGGGAGGGCGAGGGCAACCGCTTCCAACGTTTTTGCAAGTTGCTTCAAATTGACCATAAAATCTACAAGTTCTCAGGATGAGATATTTTAACTTGCTTCAAATTGATTAGCGGAAATTTAAAATTATCAGTTCCAACTGGACATTGTACATGCACATGTACGATGCATAACACTCTCTGACCTGATAATGATTCAACTTCTCAATTTTCAAATTAAAAGTAGGACAAGCTAGCGTCATATTGGTCCCCAGACGCTCTTCCCAGCAAAAAGTCGCGAGTTATTTTAATACACAGCGGGGGCGTAGCCAGCTTTCAGTTGCCGGGGGCGATCGTGGCATGAGCAAGGCAAAAACAAGTTTTTTCAAGATTTGTTTTGAATTTTACAAAAATTGATGCAACTGCCTTCAAAATTGAGCTAGACGCTTTCAATAAAGAGCATTTTAAAGCTCTTTTCTTCTTCTATCCACTGGTTCTATTTTATTGGTATCGGGGTCGCACCCATCCCCCCTCACTACGCCTATGCATAGTACTGAACACAATAAAGTGCAGGCCTTGGATCTTAGAATACAGTTGCATTTTAAATGGATAATTGAGAATAATTACAATTGCGCCCCGTAGCCTACATTAAAGGCGTAATATGATATCAATTTGAAATTAAAAAACAATATACATATTGTAATGCCTCCACTTAGTTTAATTTTCTGAGGATACAATGGGGAAATGAAGTTAATTTCTTCAAAGCTTGATTGAACTATATCAGAAATCCCGAAACTTGATTACATTTGCTTTCAAAATGTTTGCTCTTTCCAAATATCATGGAAATTGATTGCAATTATGTTCGATGAAAAATCAAACTGCTGTCAAATGTAGGCTTATGCGATGCAAGTTTCCATGATTCCCATGAACAAGATGACACTACATGTATAACCTAGGATCATCCTAGGTATAATCTATAATAATCATTACTCAAAGTACTATTAATCTGCCTGTGTAATTACATTTTGTTACAGATGCCAAACGTCAAACACCAACCACCAAACATCGATCGTCCACAAAAAAAGTTGGAGACAAATGTGTCTACTTTTGGTGGAGTGACATACATATAAACCCCCCCCCCCTCCCAAACAGTTCCTAGATTATTAAGGATTAATATACTTCAAGGTTCTTGCATTTGTAATGAGGATAAAATCTTCGTTCCCTTATTGAAGTTCCACAAGATCATGAAGCCTGAAAAGTTGATTTCACTTTGTCAAAAGTCATGGTATCAAATCAAAAGTTGCTTTTCCTCTCACTTCCTTTTATCTTTAATCACATATTAATTGGATCAATACAGACTCGATTTCCTCTGCCAACAATGCCATTGCAATGTAATGACGGGAAACGGTCGCTGGAATAAGCAATCAGACGTCTCAATTTGTTGAACGTTTGTTTTTGTTGAAAACAATGCGTAATTCTGATTTTGATATTGTTGCAATGCATAGTTCAGCATTTCAAGTCATGAGGAATGTACATGCACAGTTCATTTGATAAAGGGGAAGGGGTGGCGTAAATAATTTCTGACTGCCAAGACTGCCATTTCTGACTGCCCTTCTCAAGAAACCCCATTATACCAAACCCTTCACCCACGCAAACACGCACTCAGTCCATGTTGGGTAGGGAAATAGAAACGGATTAGACCCACGGGGGGGGGGGTAAAACCGCACCCCTTGAAGACAGGTTTCTGACGGGCCTGACCCCCCCCCCCCCGGCAAAAGCAGGTTATGAATAATGTAGCCAGTCCATGTTAGTTTCTTGGAGATATCTTTGAAGAATTCTCAACTTATCAAGACAGATAACAATATAAAATGTAGATGGCAAAATAATCTGATCTGATTTTGCTTGCAATTTGTCTGCCTTAAACAGTCTAATTTCATAGTTATGCAATAAAAATCCCCATGGCAAAAGCAGGCCGCTACTTATACTTTAAAGTGTTTAGTCGGTCCATGATAGTGTCTGGGAGTTGTCTCTGAAGAATTCTCAACATATCAAGATAAGAGCTGATAATATAAAATGTAGATGGCAAAATAAAACAGCATGCACCTCTAAACATATGCTCATTAATTAATATAGTTACAAACAACAGAAGGATAATCTTTAAATGATTGCAACGCATTATCTATTTTAGCTGAAATCAAGTTATTTCTAACTCATGCGACAAAACGGAAAATGGTTTAGAAAATAAATCAATAAGATCAACGTTATACAATGTTGAAAACAAAACAGATAGTAAAAAATCTTATTCTAATTTAATTCCTAAATAAAGTCTCAACCCTCCAGACACTGGTGACATTTGACCGCATTTGAAAGAATTTATCTAATTTAAACAATCAAATCAAATCAAAAGTAAAACATGCAAACAGGTATAACTGCTTATTTGAGAATATCCGAGGAAATGTGTGTCCGGGATGTGTGACGCAGATTTCAAGTCCTACATCGCCGTTGAATGCCCTGAAAAGAAATCTGCTTATGATAAGTTATTCTTTTTATACCATGGTCAGAGCAATATCTCAGTATATAATAGTAAGTGATAAATCACATATTTGGGATATGGATGATATTGGGATTAGAGGGATGATATGGATATCAACCCGGGTATTTATTCAAAAAAGATATTTGTTTCAAAATTTTTCATTTTCTCTCATTCAAAAAGGATTTTAGATATATGTTGCTCTTGACCATGGTATAAGGTCGTTATTCACCTGTCGGGATGATATTGAGAATATTCCTCAGATGGTATCAATATTTCACTCTGTCACTGCGTTCCCTCGGGAAATATTAATATCATGTGATATTCCCCATAGCAAATCCCTCCTGGTGAATAACTTCTTTGTATATACTTTCAACTAATTTAACAATGAAACAGAAACATAATGCATGCCAAACATTATCTATTGTATTATTGTATATTATGGTTATTTCATAGTTTGCACTTGTATTCAGCAACTGTGTTTCTCAAGCCCGGGATAAACATTTTTAGGGTTAACACGTCAGACTTAACACGTCGCTTGAGGCAAGATGCATAAACTAAATAATTCCACGGCTATAACTTGAAAAACGCCACTGTTGTGTCTATGCCCCTTCTGTATCTTACCCACGGGAACCTACAAAACAGAAAAATATATACATGTAATGACATTATGAAAAGGGGAAGTCCCGTCTATATAAATCCCTAGGTTCAAGTCGTGGAAACATCCCCATATTTGCAACAAAACAATGATAAACCTAAAAGTCGGTAAGTAGTAGTTGTACCATATGCATGAATTGTAGCTTTTGGGAAGGATGATAAAACGCCAAAAAAATAATTTAAATACTTGGTGAAGTCTGGCATTCATGATCTGACAGGAAATTTAGGGAGAGCCTTGATTATGATTAAACGTAAAGCAAAAGTTGACCATTGTATCTTGGAGGTTATCATGATAAATGAATGTTCATTCGAAGACGACCACTGAATCCAAATCAAGTTCACTAAAACAATGTATTATAAAGAAATAAACTAAATCACTATTTCTATTACATGTATTATAAAATAATAAATAGATAACGTGTTTTATATTGATTCGTACAATGATGAATACATTGCAGCAAAGAGCTTGAAACAATGTTCACCGTTTATACAGTTTAAGTTAAACTAAATAACAGCAACGCCAAAGCGTAGAAAATTAATATTTGATCTTGAAAGTATTAACATCAATTGCTTAGATTTGAACATTATGCTCTTGATGCAGAACACAATAGTGTTTTACTTTTAATCGAATATGTTTATAATCATATGACATTAATAATTGCGTCCCATTTCATGATTAGGCTATATGGAGATGTTACCTTGACATACACGTATTTTCAGAAATATTTTTTATCGTTGGTAGAAAACGGTAGATCTAACGTACTCTGGAAAATGGCCTACCTTCGCCCCTGTCGTGAATTGTGTTTTAACGTTTACTTTTTATTACCTTTAAATGCTTAGTTTCATCCTTGGTCAGAGGGAATAGCAAATATGACGTAAATAAAGGGATTACACTGTTCTAGTCTACTGTGAAGAAACGTATACCCAGTTTTGGGGTACCCGGTTTTTTCGACCGGGTACCTTCTCGACCGGGTACCGGGTACCAAGTTGGAATCCCGCATGGAGGATTTAGTACCCGGTACCCGGTACCCGGTACCCGGTTTTTTCTACAAACCCAAAAAATCTTCATCTCGTAGGTCTACTGAAGAATAGATTTATGTCGAAGCTGTAGCTTTTCATTTATTTACGCCTACTCTACGTGTATCATTCTTGAGCATGACAGACATTCGTGAACTCACCTTCTTTTCTGTATTGAAATAAGTTCTTTCTATGGGTTCTGTCCTTTCTTTGGGCACGTAAGAGAATGCAGATAACTCACATGGCCTCCCCTTAAGCTCATAGTCGTTACTTGATGTACCTGTGACGATAAGACTTGTCTCTGCCATGATTTTCGTGAACTACTGAAAAGAGCACTTGTTCTTTTGGTTTCCAGGAGAGAGATAAACAACCTGCTAATGAATATTCATGAGATCATAAATAGGAACTTTATAGGCTTCTGCAGGTGATATATTTATGTAATTATTAATAATTTAAGTATTTTTAACATAAAAGATTGTGATATACGACCAAATATGCCGTAATTATCAAATAAATTGATTTTAATTGAAAATATCCCATCATGCAACATGATATTTCAAAATGGCTGACACGGTAAGAAAAAAAAACTTCCGGGTTGTATTTTTCAATTCTTTTGCATAGTTAGATTGTCTAAATAGACAAATTTGTATAAGGTATGATAAAAATAAGTATTCCATAGTTTATGTGCAAAGTTTTAACTATTTTAGTTTTTAATACGATAGAAATATGGTCATTCAAAGAAATTTTAATTTTCATTCAAAGTTTTTTTGAGTTCAAATCCAAATGCAAATTGGTGTAAATTGGTTACTGATTGAAGAAATATTTATTTACATGTCTCTGGAGAATTGTTACGAAGTAATTTCGTTACATGGAATATACATAGTCAAAACACCCAGCTTGCACCAAACCGAATGACCATTGGCCAAGTCACACCCAGTTAGTCAAGTGAACTCGACTTAATGTTGTTGTTTCACGTTTCTTTTTGACGATTTGGATATTTGTTTTTTATTTTTGTTTTCAACATTTGCGTCGAGGATATTAAGCCTAGTATATTGCGGTAAATGCTTTTCTGCCCTCTATGCTCAACAAAAGTTACACAGATAAGATAATGGATCAAATGCTTCAACTAGAATGTATTAACTCTTACCTTAAACACAGGAAATACTTGATAATTGAAGAAATGTAATCATTTCGTATATGTTTGAACCAATTTCCAATATGGTTCTCAAGGTCACTCAAGGTCACTGAATACAGTCTAAATGTGAAACCATGCAACCAAAACGAAATCGTAATTATTTATTACCAACATATCTGTTTTCGGTTTCTAACTTTCTTCACCCTCCTTGGTGTCTGAGAAGGCGATTCAATTGTCATAAGACGATGATAAACTTTCGAGTTGAAATCTCGATCTCAATATGGCTGCTGTTATTTATTGTAATTTCGTTTTTCGCTTCACCTAGAGTTTTACTTTTACACAATCATTACCCAGAATGCATCTACACATGGGGAAAAAAATTGTTTCCAGAAAAATTCTTATACTTCTTCAATTATCAAGCGTTTGACGTGTGTAAGGTAGGATTAAATACATTATCGATGAAGAGCATATTCTAATACATAATTTGTGTGATTTTGGTTGCCTAAACAGGCCAGGAAAGCATTTCCCTCAATTTACAACTGGGAAGTGTGTACGACCCTAGTATGCAAGAAAATAACAAAAAATAAATATCCAAATTATCAAAAAATAATGACAAATAAAGCATACGATGGTCGGATTTATATGACTACACCCAGTCAGCATCAGCTTCTGTTCTCTAGCCTAGAGTCTAGGTCTCGGAGGCTGCAGTATATTATTCTCTAAGGAATGAAAATATTTTAGTTTACCTTATTCTTTGGCCACAGTGTTTACGAGTAATTTGGCTAGAGACTTGAGTAAATTTTAGTCAGACACAGACTATTCTACAGTGTGAACCATAATAAAGAAGCGTCTTATTTTCAATCCATATGACACGTTCCTGCCTTATCTTATTTCAAGGATAGGATCACAAAAAACAAAAGTTTTATTATAGGAAAAAAATCTTGATATGATTTTACCTGTAAATTCTGCATTTAGTCCGCTATTTTTATCAGAACTATTTTCATTCTGATAAAAATGACTATAAGTTTAAACCAATCAGATTATTTGATATTTCGCACACAGGAATATTCACCCCTGACCACTTATCATAAGTAACAAGCCTGGTGGAGATTGCCCCCACTTTTTTATTGATCAAAATGTGAACTCAACCTCGTGAGAAATTCATCATGCATATACTAGTATGAAGCCCTGGGTACATTCATTTGGTACATATAATTCACAGTTCATGTTTCTCTGCAGTTTGGCAGAGTTTGGGACTTAAATGTTTAAATTAAAGAAAATATGGCAAATACATGACTTATTGATTATTTTTGGTCACCAATCCACTGTACCTTTGTGTGAGGCAGTAAAAATGTGTGAAAGAAAAATATGCAATTAAAATATCAAAGTGCAATATAATATGGAAAAATATGTTCATGTTTTAGATGCAAAATGTTAGTACATTTTGGATCGCATTTGACTGACCAAGCTGCCTCCTTATGTGAAATAAGCCAAGTAAGCCTCTTGTATTTTGATGTTTCTCTGACATGTTATTTTTGAAAACATCATGACAGAAACTTTTGAGATTAAGACTACAGGTTAGTCTTGCTTCCAAGACCCTGGATTATCTACTTTAATGAGCAAGACTAACTACAGGTTTACTGCAGATAAAATTATTTATGTGAAATACACAAAAGTTTTGTATCTGAATGTTCTTACATATGACACTGCACTATGGTTCTAGATGTAGCTCAAAAGGTTCAAGATGAATGAACATTTTGTAATGAAAAATATTTAGATAAATTTTGCAATGCGAGAAAGATAAGAGACATTGATTGCACAGATCATGTTCATTCAAATTCTCTTCATGATCTGTCGAATTAGTTTTGATTTTGATGAAAGAGAATCAGGCCTGTCATTAGGCCATGGACTTTGGGAATTCTTTAAGTCTAAAATTAGACATATTTAACTAATTATTTAATAATAAGCAATAATAAGTTAATGGGTCACTTAAAAAATGCTTCTATTTTATTTCAGTGGATCAACCAGATGACAAGTGGTTTATATGACGTATAAGCAACAAATTAAATATCATTAGAACACATACAACCAAAATTGTTGTCATGCCTTTAGGGACGCATACATTGCATCACTAAATAGCCTTAGGCACACATATCTCATGGAATGATTGTGTGTACATGGCTTCTCTATTTAGTAATTAGTAACAGACAGGTGCCTAGATTAGGAATATATATACCAGAAACCACGGCCACGTACAGGACAGGAGTTCTACTCAGATTAAAGACCATAATGGGGAATTGTTTAGGAAAAAGAGGAGAAAAGGGTCATAAACGGGGGAATGAGGATACTACACAAGCTTCACAGGATTTTGGTTTCAATCCAGATTCAAACGTCAACTTAAACAATGTGGCTATCAGGGATGATAGTTCACAGATAAGTTTGGACTTGCAGGTATCCCATAATGCATCAGCAAGATTGCAGACAGACCAGCCACAATCCCTTCAACCAGAAGTGGATGCCCTAAACCTAGAAACTTTGGCTGTCATTAGGACACTTGTGAATAAGTAAGTGGGAAAATTATTGGTCATTTATTGCAGACGAGGTATGTTATCGCAAATGATATAATAAATTGTTCCAGAAACCGATCACCAACTCCAAATACTGAATGTCAGTCACACAATTTGTTTGTGTGAAATACCCTGTAATCCAGAGGTTTTGACGGGCAAAATACAACTAGTAGAATTTTGAGCTATTTTGTGTATTTAAGAGAGGAGATAAATCTGTTTGATGCATAAGTATGTGTACTTTATCCAGACTTTAATTTAGTAGTTATATTATATTGACTTTTCGCCAAGTTTTTGTAAATGGCAAATTTCCCCCCCCCCCCCCCGGCCCCTGTATTGGTGCAGACCCTTTGAAGTTAACAAATAGCTAATGAATTGACTCGGAAAATAACTCTATTACTATTATATGATCCAACCTACGTATATTAATATTAAACAGGTATTAAGACAACAGATGGTACCTGTCATTATATAGATATTTTCACCTGTGTTAACCTCTACAGGTGTGTATTTCTTAAAGATCAAGTGCATTCTTGAAGTGTGACAAAGTATGACTAATTGCAAATATTTATTTATTATAATTACAAGCAATTTCTTGCATTTATAAAAATTGGAATGTGGCTTGAAAAAATTGGTTGAAATGGCAGTTCAGTTTGTCAAAAAAGATGGTCTCATTCTTAAAGATTGGGCATTACTCTCCCAGCTCATGGAATAAACTAAAATACCCTTGGACCAAAAATGAGATGGTCTTTAATGAAACAAATTACATGTAAATACATTGAAGATACACTGTAGATACTTTTTCTTAAGGTATACTTATTTAACAAGGTAACAAAAATAATTTGGTATCGCAAAAAGTAACATCTCTACAAAAGAACATGATATGAGATGTGCATACAGTATTGGATACTGTAGATTGGGTTAATTTGGCGCTACTTAATTTGCCATTTTTGGCATATTGGCGGCTATTTAATTTGGCGGATATGCAAAAAATTGGGCATGTTTGGCTATGTTCATTTTTTTCTTTTGAGGACCACTGGCGATATTCACCATGTTTGTACATTTTTGTGAGATCATCCTTTACATTTTGCATCTCGATCGATGCTGCTACTATACCACGCTTTTCCTTTCTAGTTTTTCCTGAGTATTAATGAGTGACTGACCAGTTCTGAGCCAATTTATGAGACGTTTTTTCATATTTTTGGAAAAAACTAAACCGGAAGTGACCTAAATACACTGGACGAAATACCCTAGATAATTCCCGGGGATTCATTCTAAATTTTGGCGAAGATTCATATTGGCGAATTTTTCAATTTCGCCAAATTCGCCAAATTAAAGCGGGCGCCAAATTAACCCAATCTACAGTAATCAGTATTATATAGTCAAAAGGTACAAATATTTTAGCATTTTGTACTGGTATCTCAGCCTAGAGTATACATTTTAGATATCTCCTGTTTCATTGAATTCTACAAAAATACTTTACATTAAAAGATGGTGGAGAAATTACATAGATAATGAATATTTGTGTTTACAAAAGTATTTTGGAAATCAAATCAGAATAGTAATCAGAAAAAAAGTTGTAATTTGCCTAAAAAGGTTGAACTTTCATTTCACAAGTAAAGGACATAACAGTGACATAGATTAGAATTTATTAACTTTATTACACATACAGTACATACCTATATTGAGTTTAGTTATATAAGTTTTCAATTTTGCTTTGTATGATACAAAGCAAAATTGAAAACAGGGAAGGACAAATGCTTCATAAACAATGATTGACTTTATAATGCTTAATACATTATTTACAGTAAAACCTGCGAACAGGGAATGCTCTTGGGACTGAAGGAAAGTTTCCTTGTTCAGAGGTTTTCCCTATAGAGAGGGGCCGCACTTTCAGCAAACTCAAACTTGCCGAATAAGCATATTTGTATATATATTGATTAATTGTACAAATGCCGGCTCCATACTTGGTTACGTTCTCCCCATGTTGATTTTAGCTGCTGCTAGCGTCTGATGATGTCTAGTTGGTGTAATTATTGATATGATGTGTAGAGATATAGTGCTAAGAACTGAATTTGAAGTTTCATCAACCCCATTTTATATCATTGATAATCTAGAAGTTGGACCAGTAAAAGATTTAAAGGGATTTGGCTCAACATGACCATGTACTTACTATCTGTTATCTCCATAAAACAATTGTGTCAGTCTCTAGATTATCACAACTGATTTGATACGGTTTATGAAGGTTTTTTGAAGGGAAGAATTAGTGTCATGATAATGAGTAACAAACAGATTAGTACTAGTTTTAAAATAAATCAGGGTAATTAACAGTGGGTGGGATGCTACATCATGTAAACAATTGGCTTATCTTAATCTCAATCATATTAATCCAAGCTTTCTATATTCAGATATTGGCTTAAAACTTTCACACCTCTGAAAAATAATGGAATATACAGTGTCACCAATATTCCATATTCCTTGTTCACAGGTGAATTTTCATAATTTGCCCCAAAATAGTGTTCCTTGTTCCCTGTTCACAGGTTTTCCCTACAGAGAGGGTCCGTTAACATGTAAGTCAATGAAAAAATATTCGGTTCTTTTGAAAATCATTCCTTGTTCATAGGTTTTCCCTACAGAGAGGTATTCCATCGGACAGGTTTTACTGTAGTTTAAAAGTGACATATGAAATCAATAAGATCTTTATCACCATCAAAATGATTAAACCATCTGTAATAGTGCAACTGCCAATGATAATGAGGATTTAGTTTACTAAATTATTTATTTCAATGTTTTTGTGTTTTTTATAAGGATATATTTATTTCTTCACAAAATATATTAATGTTAATCCCTCCAAAAAATTATTTCTATATGGTATTTCCAGTGACCAGGAGCCTCCCAGAGCAATGGTTCTACTTCATAAACTTGCAGACACATCAGAGGCTGGCTGGTTGTCAGTTGTGATGTCACTGGTGCATGTCATTCCAATAGAGGACCCTCTTGGCCCTGCCGTAGTCACTCTGTTGCTAGATGAGTGTCCTCTGCCAACTAAGGTAGGTTTGGGATTCACTGGTACATGCCTGTATCATAAATCATCTCTGATTTTATCAATCATGTTCAAACAACTCTATTTTCAGTCATGTTTAATCAATTCTATTTTCAATCATGTTCAAATAACTCTATTTTCAATCATGTTCAAACAACTCTATTTCCAGTCATGTTTAAACTACTCTATTTTCAATCATGTTCAAATAACTCTTTTTTTCAATCATGTTCAAACAACTTTATTTTCAGTCATGTTTAAACAACTCTTTTTTTCAATAATGTTCAAACAACTCTATTTTCAATCATTTTCAAATAACTCTATTTTCAATCATGTTCAAACAACTCTATTTTCAATCATGTTCAAACAACTCTATTTTCAGTCATGTTTAAACAACTCTTTTTTTCAATAATGTTCAAACAACTCTATTTTCAATCATGTTCAAACAACTCTATTTTCAATCATGTTCAAACAACTCTATTTTCAGTCATGTTTAAACAACTCTTTTTTTCAATAATGTTTAAACTACTCTATTTTCAATCATGTTCTAATAACTCTATTTTCAATCATGTTCAAACAACTCTATTTTCAATCATGCTCAAACAACTCTATTTTCAATCATGTTCAAACAACTCTATTTTCAATCATGTTCAAACAATTCTATTTTCAATCATGTTCAAACAACTCTATTTTCAATTATGTTCTAACAACTCTGTTTTCAACCAAGTTCAAACAAATCTATTTTCAATCAAGTTCAAACAAATCTATTTCCAATCATGTTCAAACAATTATTTTGTCAATTGTGTTCAAACAACTCACTCTGTTTTCAGTCATGTTAAAACAACTCTATTTTCAATCATATTCAAACAAAAAGTTTCGCTAAACCTGTAACCTATTTTTCATTACTATTACTTTATTACAGGTGGGCCTAGAAAAGTTACTCGAACACTTAAATTTATCTGAGAAGCTTTCGAATCAGATCAAAGACTGTAACCATAACTACTTAGTGAGGCACAGGAACATATGCGTAGTCTTAGGGTGTCTTGCTGAAAAAATGGCAGGTAAATAAAGGAAGTTATTCACTGAGAGGGATTTGATATCAGGAATATCCCAAGGGTGTTATAAGTATTTGCAGAGGGAATGATTTGCATGGTATATGCATATAAAGGTTCTTCTAGTGTATCTTCTATTTACCTTTGCAATTTTAGTGTAATTTCAGAAAATAAGTTGAAAATCTAAAGATATTACTTCTAAACTGGCCTGACAGAAAAACAATAAAAAGGAACATTAGAAATAGGGAAAGTGACACAAAAAATAATTAAAATAAAGCACAACAAATGTAAAGAATCTGTACTGCTAGTACATGTTGAATGATTTGTTTTGATAAAAAGGCTCTTAAATCAAATACACACATATAGCTCAGCAGTGCATTATACTTTTCAGTATGAATGAAACATTTGATTTGAGACATACAGTGTATTGTTTATTTGCAGGTCCAAGCAGTGCATTATACTTTTCAGTATGAATGAAACATTTGATTTGAGAGATACAGTGTATTGTTTATTTGCAGGTCCAAGCAGTGCATTACACTTTTCAGTATGAATGAAACATTTAATTTGAGACATACACACGCAGTCCTAACTTCGACCGTTAATTTGAATTTTTCACCTACCGGATGTTTGAAAATCAAGGATTATGAGTCTCATACTGCACCGTTTTTCTTCAAACTTGTTCCATTCAAAGCATAACAAAAATTCCTTTCTGATGGTACATTATTCTTATAAACAGAGTCCCTACTTCAAGCGGCATTTCGGTCCCAAGCTGTAAGAAGGCCTTCTAACAGCTGGGGACCAAAATGCTGCTTGAACGAGGGACTTTTTTTTTTTTATTTATCATGTTTTATTTAATACAATAATATAGAGGGACTCTTTACAATGAAGTAATGCACCTACAGAAAGGCAATTTTGTTTTGCTTTTAATGGTATAAGTTTGAAGAAAAACGGTGCAGTATGAGACTCACAATCCTTGATTCTCAAGCACCTGGTAGGTCAAAAATTCAAATTAACGGTCGAAGTTAGGATCGCGTGATACAGTGTATTGTTTATTTGCAGGTCCAAGCAGTGCATTATACTTTTCAGTATGAATGAAACATTTGATTTGAGACATACAGTGTTTTGTTTATTTGCAGGTCCCAGCAGTGCATTTCACTTTCCAGTATGAATGAAACATTTGATTTGAGACATACAGTGTTTTGTTTATTTGCAGGTTCAAGCAATGCATTTCACTTTCCAGTATGAATGAAACATTTGATTTGAGACATACAGTGTTTTGTTTATTTGCAGGTCCCAGCATTACATTCCACTTTTCAGTATGAATGAAACATTTGATTTGAGACATACAGTGTATTGTTTATTTGCAGGTCCAAGCAGTGCATAACACTTTTCAGTATGAATGAAACATTTGATTTGAGACATACAGTGTATTGTTCATTTGCAGGTCCCAGCAGTGCATTACACTTTTCATTATGAATGAAACACTTGATTTGAGACATACAGTGTATTGTTTATTTGCAGGTCCCAGCAGTGCATTATACTTTTCAGTATGAATGAAACATTTGATTTGAGAAATACAGTGTATTGTTTATTTGCAGGTCCCAGCAGTGCATTATACTTTTCAGTATGAATGAAACGTTTGATTTGAGACATACAGTGTATTGTTTATTTGCAGGTCCAAGCAGTGCATTACACTTTTCAGTATGAATGAAACATTTTATTGGAGACATACAGTGTATTGTTTATTTGCAGGTCCAAGCATTGCATTGCACTTTTCAGTATGAATGAAACATTTGATTTGAGACATACAGTGTATTGTTTATTTGCAGGTCCAAGCATTGCATTGCACTTTTCAGTATGAATGAAACATTTGATTTGAGACATACAGTGTATTGTTTATTTGCAGGTCCAAGCAGTGCATTTTACTTTTCAGTATGAATGAGACATTTGATTTGAGACATACAGTGTATTGTTTATTTGCAGGTCCAAGCAGTGCATTTTACTTTTCAGTATGAAGGAAACATTTCATTTGAGACATACAGTCTATTGTTTATTTGCAGGTCCAAGCAGTGCATTACACTTTTCAGTATGAATGAAACATTTGATTTGAGACATACAGTGTATTGTTTATTTGCAGGTCCCAGCAGTGCATTACACTTTTCAGTATAAATGAAACATTTGATTTGAGACATACAGTGTATTGTGTATTTGCAGGTCCAAGCAGTGCATTTTACTTTTCAGTATGAATGAGACATTTGATTTGAGACATACAGTGTATTGTTTATTTGCAGGTCCAAGCAGTGCATTACACTTTTCAGTATGAATGAAACATTTCATTGGAGACATACAGTGTATTGTTTATTTGCAGGTCCCAGCAGTGCATTACACCTTTCAGTATGAATGAAACATTTCATTGGAGACATACAGTGTATTATTTATTTGCAGGTCCAAGCAGTGCATTACATTTTTCAGTATGAATGAAACATTTCATTGGAGACATACAGTGTATTGTTTATTTGCAGGTCCAAGCAGTGCATTACACTTTTCAGTATGAATGAAACATTTCATTGGAGACATACAGTGTATTGTTTATTTGCAGGTCCAAGCAGTGCATTACACTTTTCAGTATGAGTGAAACATTTGATTTGAGACATACAGTGTATTGTTTATTTTCAGGTCCCAGCAGTGCATTACACTTTTCAGTATGAATGAAACATTTGATTTGAGACATACAGTGTATTGTTTATTTGCAGGTCCCAGCAGTGCATTATACTTTTCAGTATGAATGAAACATTTGATTTGAGACATACAGTGTATTGTTTATTTGCAGGTCCAAGCAGTGCATTATACTTTTCAGTATGAATGAAACATTTGATTTGAGCCATACAGTGTATTGTTTATTTGCAGGTCCAAGCAGTGCATTACACTTTTCATTATGAATGAAACATTTGATTTGAGACATACAGTGTATTGTTTATTTGCAGGTCCCAGCAGTGCATTATACTTCTCAGTATGAATGAAACATATGATTTGAGACATACAGTGTATTGTTTATTTGCAGGTCCAAGCAGTGTTAACTTGCTCAATGAAGATGTGTTGGGATACCTAATGGCAAATCTTGTAAGTAACTTCTTGTATTGTATAGTGCTGAAAACAGAAAAATTGACTTGTTTTCAAATCGATTTGACCTATTCTTGCAAACTATTCATTTTCCTAAAGTCAACTTTAGTGCTTTCATATTTATTATGCAATAATTGAATGTATGTTTTCTCCCAAAAATAAACTATAAGAGAAAATAATGAGGCGGGCCAAAAGTATTCCCTAATTTTTACCATTTATCGAAAAAGCTACTCTCAATGCTTGATATTGAATTTTTTTTCTTATTTATAGTTTATTTTATTTTCACAAAAATCAATAATTAATACAGTGTCATTTGGCAAGGCTCAAAAGAGCATTATTAGCCAAGTATGATTGCAGTATATAAAACCTTATAATCAAGGTAATGTTTAAAGATTCACTCAACATATTGATATTGAATTAACAATTAATTGTGGATGATATTGTGTTTCAGAACAAGTCACAGGATCTCTCCATAATATTGTATTCCCTGATAGCATTAGAAAAGTTTGCGCAAACTAGTAAGTTTAAAGTAAATCATAAAGCATTGTAAAATTGAAAATAAGGGCTGGCCCAAATTTTTTATCTGTAATTAAACCTGCACATCGCTCCAAAACGCAATCTTGGGTTGTTTCGGGGGTGAACTTTATCATTTTGAGCTTAATGAAAGATTATAGAATGATGAACAAATGGGGCAAATTTTGTGTAGAAATACTTACGATAAATGTGTCATTTCAAAGATTTTTCATTGAATTGCTTCGATCGGCGCCGACGATATGATTTTGGAAAGGTTTCTAAATGAAGAACGTGACGTCACTTCGGAATCATAGCATTCAAAATAAGTAGCTTTTAATTACTTCTACCATCCATAATAACACCGTGGTGTAGCGGTAGAATTCTCGTTTAGCACGCCGGAGGCACGGGTTCGAATCCCGCATTCGCCTTTTTATTTTTTTTAACTAAATGATTGTTCTTTGAAATTACGCAGAAAAAACAATTTTTATTTACATAAACTTTATATTAGAGCTTAAAAATGTAAAAACAATATATGTCAACATATTGCGTTTTGGAGCGATGTGCAGGTTTAAATAGCAAGCAAATATTTTATTCCATTGACAAATACAATTTTATTTTTGTTTTATTACGAGGGTTGTCCAAAAAGTCTTGAAATTTTTGTTCTCATTTCATCAAATTTTGTATATCATTGCTTGGCATGCCGAATCCAGGAAAGGTTAATACGCAGGGCAACACATTTTTTACGTATTCGTGAATTGGAAGAGATATTTTTCAAATTAAGCAATCAGAGAACTAGATGCTAGCAATGACTGAATATTTCTTAGTATAATATCCAACCCCTTTCACCTTTCTACACGCCTTATTCTCCAAGAAGTGAATTAGAAAAGAGGAGTTCCAAAAATATGCATTTTCTTATTATACAACCATTTGATGAATGTAGATAGCATAGCTTAGTCTTGATAGCTTCAAGTCCTTATGAACCCCCCTCCCCTCTTGCCCTCTTCCTACACACCTAGGTGAGGTGAATTGAGAAAGATAGGATAGGGGGTCCAAAGACTTGATTTAAGACTTAGCAAAGCTATACGATGACAGTATGACATTCTAAGTCCATCCTTATTTGCAGGTGAAAACAAAATTACAATCAACCGTAAAATGTGTGCAAGTAAAATTCACCCATTAGAACCACTGGAGAAATGGAGACAACATAAGCAATATGCTAAAAAAGAAGTAGGATTTTGTGCTCAATGGTGTTTGGACAACCTGTGTAAGTTTTTTTTTTTATTAATTAAATATATACTATATATATAATATATAAAATATATACTATATTTATTATATATATACTATAATTACAGCTGTTTATTTGTGTATTTCCCTTATATTTAGGCCTCATGTGCATTATGTTGGAAGTAAATCCATGAAGTGGTATTTAAGATATGCTATTTCGTGATGCAAAATTTGTCTAATAGATTTACATCCTTTTTTTGTAATTTAAAAAAATCCTTAGTTCTAAAGGTTTTTGATAAGTTTTGTTTAATGTTGTAAAGTATGAAGTGCTATCACACAGAGACATTAAAAGTATTTATGTCACCCGGATGTTTAACCAGAAACAAGACTATTTTTTCTTGTCTAATTTATTTTATTTTTGATTATTAACATGTGTGTTCTTTCTTTCATATACCATGGACATCTACAGTCATTCAAGAGGTAAGATATTGTATAGCAATAGTAGCTGTGACATAATAATACAGTAAAACCTGTCTGATTGAAATATTATTCATATACACTGCACAATTGATTAATTGATATGATAATATAGTTATTCTTCATCGAACAGGATTTTATCGGATCGTCCACTACCGCTATATTTAATCAATAAATATTGATTGTTTTCGTTTGCTAAAGTTGTAGTTCTAGCACATACTGACTCTTCAAATTTGGAGGAGAATCTCTCGTAAGTTTTAAAATTTATTTTTGATTTTAGACAAAATCGGCTTATTTACGATCTAATTGGTGGAAAAATACTGAGCTTGAGGTGTCTTGTTCCGTTCCGAAAGTGCTTCCTCATGTTCCAAGTTCCGATACCGAACCCAAAAACCGCGGAACGGAACAATTTCGGGTAACCATCCCACCCCTAGTGGACACCCTTCCTTCCCACATACTCTATTGACTTTTACATAAATTACCCTCTCTGTAGTGAACACCTACCAAGACTGAACTTTTTTTCATGGCAAAAGTGTTCAGTAAACACAGGTTTTACTGTATTAGTATGGAATGATAAAGATTAAATGTTTCTATGATGAAATAAAACTTCCAGAAAATAAATAGTAAGGAATCATTAAGATTATATTGTTTATATTGAGTTTCCAAATCTATATTCAACTTTGTTTTCTTTCTTCATTTGAATAAATTTATTATCCCACCGAACAAAGTTCGAGGGGGATTGTCTGTCCATCCATCCATTCATCCGTCTGTACTTAAATACCAGTAGACAGATTTGATTCAAATTTTATAGGCTCATGCCTTGTGGGTCTAGGACCTTGGTCTGAGAATGAATTTTTAATATGACTGCTCAATTCTAACGATACAGGAGCTCTGCTCAAGAAGGAATCTTCAAGATGGTAGCTGAATTTCAAAATGGCCACCATTTTTCGTAAAAGAATGTAATCTTTGTTTACATCCTAGCTTTAACTTTTAATTTAAACTTTAAATCATTTTTATGTTCTCAAAGCGGTCAAATGATTTCTTTGTACATTGAAAAGTTTTAATTGACATTGTAAGGTTTTATAATTTAGTGAGCAAAAAAAAAAAATTTTGTATGTACAATATTTACAGCAGTTATAGTTTATCTTAATATATGTATATATGTACCAATAAGTATAATTGTCCTTTATATAGTTTGGCATTGATTAACATGAAGTTCAGCTAATGTGAGATGTGTGGCTAAACATCAGTTTTTAGTCTGGGAATTTCTGTCAGGCCAAACATTATTATTTGATGACATATCTTTGTTGTCTTTACAAAACAATATCATAAGTCCCGTTATAATTCCTCCGCACACAAGCGGGATTGCTAGGAAAAAGAGAATGTAGAATCCTATCCGTGCATCACATTCAGTTATAACTTTAATAGCTTCTGCATCGGACATCTCATCATATGACATAATAGTTCGTAGATCATCAGTCAAAGGCAATGCTGTATAACATGATGAAGTTTGACCTTGGGTTGTTGATAGTGTACACACAATTGTAGCATTTGATAAGTCATACACTGTCCTGTTTACGTCAAATCTTACATCAATGTTGCTGAATTCAGCATCAGATTTTGCGGACTCTGATCGGTCCGTACGGCGATACAGGAAGTAATAATCATCATTTGTTGACGTAGTCATGTCTGTAAAATGATTGCCTGTGGTGTACAAGTGGTCTTGGAGATGACAATTATTGTTACACTTTTCCTTTTTCTTACCAAGAAATTTATCAAGTTTTTCTTTCCCTTGTAATATCATAAATTCAACAGCTGTGTCCACAGTTGTCGTAATTCTCATTTCAGATCCTGTTAATAAATAAAAGTTCCAATAAACTGGAACATCATAAGTATCGACCATCGAGTTACGTTCGAAGCTCTGGAATTTTTTATTTGGTTTAATAGGTGGCTCTCCAAGCATGCTGTATACGAAAACATTGTCCTCATGTTCATTAGTTATTGTTATCCCTTTACACATGACGTTAGTTACTTTATGAACTAATCTCATATCTCCTGGTGAGGACGTAGGGTAGTCAGTTCCAAATATAGCCAATCTCACTAACAAAACAGTTGATATTGTTGCAATCACTGTCCATCCCCAAAATACTCCAATCTTTACGAACTTTGTCTGGCCCGGTAAACAGCAACATATAAATGCCCAAAATATGCGATAGTAGAGCCAACATTGCCCTCTTAGTGATGGTTCGGGCGCCCCTTGTTTATATCTAACAGCCTCGCTTTGCATCATTCACGTGATCTAAAACAAGAATAAATGCAAACATCATGATGTGATCATTTACAAAGTAAGTAGTCTATGGATTGTAATATCCACGTGTACTAATTTGAACACAGAAAAAGCTCACAGCATTATGTGGTCTGGTTAATACTGTATCATAGATACTGTATATCCTTGTCCCCGAGTATTAATATTTTTTACATTTTTGAAATAATTTTCAACAACTTGGGTCAGTGCCATTCTCAGGTATTTTCTTACTCCATTTCTATCCTTTGGGTAGCACTGCCCCATTTCTGTCCAGTTAAAACCAACATGTATGCTCTTGAGAGCTTCATGTTGTATTGAATCTCATGTATGTTTATCAAAATAGTAATAAATATCTGAAATCTGAATCTGAAATAGATATAAAATCCGAGTGGTTCATTTTCTGAATTGTTTTAAAAGTGTTAATGCCAAATAAAATATTGAGGACTTGGTACCCCTGTAAACAAAAAACACCCCAAAAGTTTCTATAATTGACAATGTTGAGCTGAAAGCCCATGATGTATACAATACCCGTGACACCTATACCATGGAAAAATGCATTGAACTCTTATGAAACCATTCAAAAATGTTTATCTTATATACATTATGCAAAAAAAATATACTAACAATGTACAAAGTAACAAAAGTCTTCATTGAATCAGTTGTCAAGTGTAATACCTATATTTTAATACTCCATTTTAATACAGTATATATGCATTAGACGCTTGTCTACGTAAAAGTTGTGAGCTTGTGCATATTTAGACTATAATTGCTTTTAACATACCTGCTTCCTTCTAGTGTTATTCCTAATACACTTTAAAACAAGTTTGCGAAACATGAAACATTTTTAACTACAAATCCTTGCATTATGTTTACTCTATTTCGTTGTCTGAAATTATAGAATCCAAATGAATATCATCAGGCTAATATGAGTCACATAGTATTACAACAACTGAGATGGCAATACTAGAACTAATTTTATTGAACGTTTGTAAGCCTCTTTCACAATGTAGAATGTAATAATAATAGAATTATTGATTTTCGGTCTCCTACAGAGTCTACAGGTAAGGTGAATATCTAGGTACTAGTAGTTGCATTGACCCATTGTGAAATACCAAAAACCTACATTCATCAATAATATCAGCAAGTATTAGCCACAAAAGCTGCCAAATAAATCTCAAAATATCATTTATATTTATGTTAATAACTAATACATTATATAATTACAATCTAATTAATTATAGTCTATGGATTGTAATATCCACGTGTACTAATTTGAACACAGAAAAAGCTCACAGCATTATGTGGTCTGGTTAATACTGTATCATAGATACTGCATATCCTTGTCCCCGAGTATTAATATTTTTTACATTTTTGAAATAATTTCCAACAACTTGGGTCAGTGCCATTTTCAGGTATTTTCTTACTCCATTTCTATCCTTTGGGTAGCACTGTCCCATTTCTGTCCAGTTAAAACCAACATGTATGCTCTTGAGAGCTTCATGTTGTATTGAATCTCATGTATGTTTATCAAAATAGTAATGAAATATCTGAAATCTGAATCTGAAATAGATATAAAATCCGAGTGGTTCATTTTCTGAATTGTTTTAAAAGTGTTAATGCCAAATAAAATATTGAGGACTTGGTACCCCTGTAAACAAAAAACACCCCAAAAGTTTCTATAATTGACAATGTTGAGCTGAAAGCCCATGATGTATACAATACCCGTGACACCTATACCATGGAAAAATGCATTGAACTCTTATGAAACCATTCAAAAATGTTTATCTTATATACATTATGCAAAAAAAATATACTAACAATGTACAAAGTAACAAAAGTCTTCATTGAATCAGTTGTCAAGTGTAATACCTATATTTTAATACTCCATTTTAATACAGTATATATGCATTAGACGCTTGTCTACGTAAAAGTTGTGAGCTTGTGCATATTTAGACTATAATTGCTTTTAACATACCTGCTTCCTTCTAGTGTTATTCCTAATACACTTTAAAACAAGTTTGCGAAACATGAAACATTTTTTTAACTGCAAATCCTTGCATAATGTGTATTGTATTTGCTTGTATGAAATTATAGAATCCAAGTAAATATAATCAGGCTAATATGAGTCACATAGTATCACAACAACAAGCAACTGAGTTGGCAATATGTAGAACTAACATCTACGTTTATTGTGTTATTGTGATTTTATTGAACGTTTGTAAGCCTCTTTCACAGTGTAGAATGTATTAATAATAGAATTATTGATTTTCGGTCTCCTACAGAGTCTACAGGTAAGGTGAATATCTAGGTACTAGTAGTTGCATTGACCCATTGTGAAATACCAAAAACCTACATTCATCAATAATATCAGCAGGTATTAGCCACAAAAGCTGCCAAATAAATCTCAAAATATCATTTATATTTATGTTAATAACTAATACATTATATAATTACTGAGTTCATACTGTGCTTAAAATCTCCGAAACACCAGTTTGCCAGTATATTTACCAATATTTGCCAGTATCCATTATTTACAAAATCAAACTAATAAGTAATTAATAAATTTTACTGGATGGAATGTCAGATCTGAGCACCCTTTGCCACTAGATGGCTAAGTAAGACTCAAAATTTGATCATAACATATATTCTGAATCATAGGTAGAAAACAACAAACTTTCATTAAAATCATCATATATCCATATACATGTAAAGGAAGACTCATTTTTGTGTGATATTGTGAAATTCTATTTAACCTTATAAAGCTGAACATTCAAATCATTGCTCTTACTAAAATCATCATATATCCAAATACATGTAAAGTAAAAAACTCATTTTTGTGTGATATCGGGAAATTCTATTTAACCTTATAAAGCTGAACATTCAAATCATTGCTCTTATTAAAATCATCATATATCCATATACATGTAAAGTAAAAAACTCATTTTTGTGTGATATCGTGAAATTCTATTTAACCTTATAAAGCTGAACATTCAAATCATTGCTCTTATTAAAATCATCATATATCCATATACATGTAAAGTAAGAAACTCGTTTTTGTGTGATATATTGAAATTCTATTTAACCTTATAAAGCTGAACATTCAAATCATTGCTCTTATTAAAATCATCATATATCCATATACATGTAAAGTAAGAAACTCATTTTTGTGTGATATCGTGAAATTCTATTTAACCTTATAAAGCTGAACACTCAAATCATTGTTCTTATGCTAAAGCGTGGAGCTATATATTGCCAGGATATAACTACGGTAGAACATGTGTAAGTGGAACACCGTTGGGACAACAAAAAAGTGTTCCACTTGGGAGTTGTTCCACTTACAGAGGTTTATTAACATGGAGTAGTTAGGCCATGGGACTTTAAAAATACTATTCCACTTGTGAGGTGTTCCACTTTCAGAGGTTCATTAACATGGAGTAGATAGGTCATGGGACTTTAAAAATACTGTTCCACTTGTATGGTGTTCCACGTACAGAGGTGTTCCACTTAGCAGGTTCTACAGTACTTAAACCACTATCTGTGTTTCTTACATTTTTTACATTGTTTCTAAATATGGTGATGCCACTTTTTTCATCTTATTGTCAAACAAAAAGTGATTAAATCCTACATGACTTAACCCCTCAAACAAATTTATTATAACCTGCAAAAAATAGAAAGTCAGATTTGGTTCAAATTTTATATACTGATACCTCGAGCAAAAGGAGCTGTGTTAAAAAAATGTCAAAATTGCCACTATTTATCAAAATATGTTTTGTTCGGTGGTGAGGTTTGCTACTCCATGGAGTTGCTGTTTTCAAGTTCAAAATGAAACAAGATATGCACAATATTTCCTTCTTGCCTGCTTTTGGAAAATGTTGATCAAATGAATTTGTTTATTTTCTCATGTCAGAATTCAAAAATACAATATTACACTCATTTTTCTGTCACAATTTCAAAAGGGGATCATACATTCATGACTTTCCCCTGAATTGGGTATACGTACCTCATGATGACTAATGAAGAGGTAAAACAGAGTTTTAAGAATGAAATTGAATCAAATAGCAGATCCAAGAAAATTAAATGCAATCTCTTGATTCAAACGTATTGTGTGTATCACTTTTTCAGGGGAGACTATACTCTTATGAGAAGGTCAACCACAAAGGCATCAATGTGATGTTGAACAGCAATGATGTTAGTGAATATCTGAAAATTTCAGCTGATGGCTTAGAGGTAAGATAAAGTCTTTACAGGGGGTCAGTCCTTCTTAATCTAAATTTGCGAGAGACAGTATAGGATGTGGAACACACAATGCAGGGGGAGAGGGGTATCAGGTCTAAACCTCTTGTACCTTATTTTGTGTCACAGTTGTAGATTCCTTTAATTTTCAAAAATGAGCTCTATATTGCAAGTGGGAGGTTTAAAGGGTTCCGATTAGCATCCCGTATAAAAACAATATGGCGGCTCCAGGCGAATCAACTGGATCAGTCCATTTTTAAGAAATAAGGGGAGTTCTGTAAAATCCATTTTATTGAAATTGTCTTTGAGATAAAGTAATCCGTTTATAATGATTTTGAAAACGTTATCCAAAGAGTGATTGCGTTCAAAGAATACATGTACAACAGCCAATATAAATCCTTGTATTAGAAACCGGTTTGTCTTGCTTTGTTTCATTTGTAGGATATTTCATATGCCAAGCTGTGTGCTATTACGTTATGGGGAAATTTAGATGCCAATTTTTCCTTATTATACACAAATAGAAGATCCTGAAACTTCACCCATAAATGTGGAATTGATTTGTCAAAATAAAAATCACCCTTTTATAAATGTGTGACGATCTATAATATACTTATGCTATATAACAGCTAGAGGTGTTGACACAACGACCTCGAACCTGTGAACCCTTGAGTATTATTCCGGGATCGGGCCTTTTATACTAAACGGTGAGCAACACCAGAAACGTGCGTTCGATTTGCTAAACGATATGAGTCACCCTTTAAACCTTTTGTCCTTATTTTGGGATACATAGCCCCAAGCTTTTGGTACAAAGTTGTAGATTCCTTATATATGTATTAAACTTTCAAAAATTAGTTCTTTACCATTATTCCATATACCTTAGTTTTGGGGTTCGTATATGTAAAAATACCTCCTATTAGTGTTAGAATTCTTTACCATGGAAACTGTTTCTATCGAACATGCTTTTTAAATCTATTGAACAGATTCTGAGGATCTTTTTATTATGTTTTTAGGCTCGTTGTGATGCATCGTCATTTGAAAGTGTCCGTTGTACTTTCCAAGTTGATTCAGGGGTATGGTACTATGAGGTTACCGTAGTAACCGCTGGGGTAATGCAGATTGGCTGGGCAACTAAAAATAGTAAATTCCTTAACTACGTAAGTACAAATGGATTTAATCTCTCGATTCAGGTGTATTGAAACCTATTGTAAAGGGCCCACAGATCAGATTCAATATGGGCTCAGATGAATGTTTCCCCCATCTTCCTAAGCAGGTGTCCAGAATCCGTATGTACCTCCTTCCCCCCTGCTATAACCAATTTGGAAGCGCCCGATTAAACTGAGTCACGTGATCTAATTATGCACCGATGACATATACATGATTGCTGTCGCAGTGTTGGAACAGCGAATCAAATTGTGAGTTCTTAATCGGGGAAATGCTAACTGCTTATAGCAGGGTGTAAAAAGAAAGAAGATATTCTGGATTTTGAAGATCTGTGATCGGAGGATGTGTTTCCCCCTACAACCTTACTTTCCATTTCTTCAAAAACCGGGCACATGTATTTTGTGTCTATAATGATCTTCTGCAGTAAGTATTTGTCTTTAATTTGGAGCTTTTTAAATTTTTTTTAGTTTTTGGTGGAACCAGACCTCAAGCCCTGTCACCTGTTACACATATTATACCTCACAACAACCTCTTATCCTGTGTCATTTGATTACAGCTTTTAATAGCCTCTACTGATGACCTTAAACTGATATATAGTTTGTTCCAAACATAATAAATTGGTCAGCTGATAAAACAGTTGTATCTTAATCCTTGTGTTATCAAAGCCAAGGTTATTCTGCCTCATGCCACATGGGAAATTAGGCGTTTATCAAGAAATATGATAAAAGCCAAGGACATTCTGCCTTGTGTGATGCATCACATTATGAAAAATCATGTTTTTCAGACTTCATCGTAATTAAGATATTTACAATGTACTCGTATATGTGCTGTAATCCAACAACCAATCAAGAGTAATTCATTTGAAAATGCCCTTCTCTAAATTCTTGATGAGAGTAGAGATTATTCATTAATGTTCAGTCACACATTGCTCGGCAAGGTATGTCCAGTTCTGGCCAATCAGAACACAGTAGTTCATATGTCACTGTGCATTGCATTATACAAGCAACAACCAACCCAAAGTCACTTTTTATGTCCCCACCACATAGTGTGGGGCCATATTGTCGGCATAGGCGCGTCCGTCTGTCTGTCTGTCTGTCCGTACGTCCAGCAGTTTTCTCCAAAACCGCTACAGATATCACCTTCAAATTTTCAGGGATAACTTATGAGTGCATACAGATGTGGATGAAAAAAGATTAACTCGATACCTACTTCCTGTCGGCCATTTTGAAGTCAAATGCTAAAATCCTTGTCTGCAAACTTTAAGAAAAACAGCTTCACAGTTGCTTTTAAAACTTTAACATCTTGTTCAGCTCACTTTTGGACCTGTAAGCTCAGTCATGTCAGCCATTTTGAATGTCTTAAGAAAAGTTAGTGCACGATAATACTTTGAATTATATTAAATGGTGTTTTTCAGTTTTCATACTTTAACTATTTAGTAGCTTTATAAATAATTTCAGGTGTACTTTGTTGTAAAAGCCTATGTTATTGTTAACAGTAGTTACATGTGATAATTTTGTAAAAAGAAATCAGCAAAAACTCATAATCACTTTTTTATTGTCGGCCATTTTGGATTTTTCCGTCCTAAAATCTTGTCTGTAAAGTCTTGTCTACGCGTTTTCAGGTGAACCGTTTGGTAGATCAATTTCAAATTTTCAGGGATGATTCTTAGTATGAAAATCTAGAGGTGACTAATTTTTTGGCATTCTTGGTTAATTTTAAGGTGGCCATTTTGGATTTTCCGTCCTCAAATTGTGTCGGTAAAGTCTTGTCTACTCATTTTTAGGATAACCATTTGACGCGATCACCCATAGGTAGGGATGTTTTGTACACATTTGTGTTCTTGTTTAGGGTTTGTTTTGAATTTTACAAAAATTGAGCTAGAAAATTCAAATACAAAGCATGTTAAAGTTCTTCTATCTAATTGTTCTATTTTTATTGGTATATGGAGAGATGACCCCCTTTCATTTGATTTAGCAGATATGTAATACATACTGTAGATTTATGATACTCTTATCAATCAAATTACATCTAGCTGTGGGAAGTTTATAGTTCCATGGACTTGAAGAAATGGGCTGGAATCTCCCATTGGCTCAATAATGGTCTTGCTCCTTATTTATTCACTAGGGGAAAAAATATAAATCTTTTTAAGCAAAATTTTAGTGATCAGTTGTTTAGTCATCTCACAATTGATGTAATATAAAAGACTATGGATCTATCTATTTCTTCAAGTCCATGATAGCACCATAGAATATACTTTTCTGGCAATGTAGGCCTTCAAGGGTTTATGTGCAGTACATTACAGTTTGAAGCAATCATTAACCACTTAACATTAAATTGTTGAAATTATCAGTACAAATATTTTATTTTTAGAAGCATATAATAATCACCAAAAGACTCAATGTCTAATTGAATTGCTTTAAGAAGCACAATTTTTAATATATAATTCAGTACATTCAGAATTTTTAAAATCAAGGAATAAATTTTAAATATCAACATAGTTGATGGCATAACATAAACACAAGATATTACCCAGTTCAATAATTTTATGATATTGTTCTTAATGCAGCCATTTCAAATTGCACCTCTATTTCAGAACAATTAGTATTACAAAAGACTCATTGTGTGAATGTTTATTTTAGAAGCATAATATCACTATAACAACGGTTTTAGTAAATTTGAAGAGTACATGTTCTTCTTTATAGTAAGCTTTGTATCAAATATACATGTACTTTACTAATAGTCAACTTTAGCATTAATGCTGTTCCAAATGTATGAGGAAAATTTCCAGGATCCTGTCTGTTTTGACCATATTTCATAAATTCTGAAAATACAGAAAGCACATAAAAATACGAAATAAGAATGTGTGACATGATATGGATTTGAAATTTATTCTGTAGTAAAATTTCATGGATGATAACAATTTTAAAATTACTGTATACATGTACTTTTGATTTGTGGCTAGAATGTGAATATATAGGGTGAGCCAAAAACATTCTTATTTTTGGCCCAGTTTCTGAATTGATTCGTTCAAGAAATGTTTTCTCATTTACAAATACATGGAACCTTAACACTCAATTTAATTTAATGAACTCATTAATATTTCTTGAATGTCTAAGTATTATGAATCATTAAGTTCAAATGAGCTAAGTATTAAAAACATTCAGTATTATACCATTATTCTGAGCTGAGTTTTTTTTATCAATTTTCAAATGACTTACATGAACCTGTCCACTTCTTTGTCATCAATTGTTCCACAAATATTGAATATGCCCAAATAAGAGTCTTCTCCGAGACTTTGCGCTTCCCTAAGGCTCATCTGGATTTTCATTGTAGGGAAGTTTTTTCTCAAAAACTCACAGATATCTATAAATAATTCTGTTGTTGTATTAACCTGGAGATTTAAGCCTTAAATATAGAGATAATCCTTACTAATAAAACTGTTATTTTGTAAGCCTTAAATGTAATTGCATGTAGAGGACACATTCACAAACATTATTGCTTAAGCACTTTGTGGTTTGTTGGCCCATTGATATATTTTCTGGAAACGAAGAAATTGTAGTGAAATACCTGTGAGAGAATGGAAAAGATGTCTTACCCTTTTTCCCAGTAACAGGTGGGTTACGTGGTGGATGTATTACAGTCTCATCAGTATAGTAGTCATCTATTAACTTCTCCCAGTCTTTATTTGGATTGTTCCAACGTCTGTTTAACTCTTCATGGTTGCTTATAGCTAGTTTTTCGAGGGTAGTTTGATCCATATTTCTCTTGAAATACAATAAGCAAAAGAAAAGTTTATCATAAAATGGAGTTAAATCATTCTGATCTATTAGAGCCTCTTTTCTCAATTATACAGATGGATCATGTAACTGGATGTGTGTAAATGAGGTGAGTGAATAATGGTACTTTTTGAATCTTTGGTTCTGCATTGCAAATCATATACTCACTAAAAGAGACCCAACTACAAACTCTATTTCTAAATTAATTCAAAATTTTGAAAAAAAGAATCTGTCACTTAGCCATTATTTATACCATCAGTTTCAATATCAAATTTCAATAAATATTGCTCACCTTGTAATCAAGTTCATCTCCCTTTAATAATTCTTAATTTGACAAACACTCACCTCATAAATGTTGTTTGGTGCTTCTAATTATATTTATTAAGCAAATCTTTTTCACATGTACTTTTTAGACAAAGAATACCTATATATGTTCGGAAATATCACCCAAAAATTATTTTTACGTGCATTTTTGAAAAAAAGCATCTATTGATAATATCTGCAAAACACGTACTATGATTTTTGATGTCTTGGTCAAGTCTTGATATTTTATCATTAAGAAGTTATTTTTAGAAAAAAGTATTTTTATATACCTGATTTTTATGCAAATCTATTGCTTCGACTGCTGTCTGTCCCTTTATGCTTTTTGTCTTTTGATCGTAAACACCCGAATTATATACATCTACTTACTAAGGATGGATCATTAGATCTTATATTTTATTCAATCAAATTGGATACCATTCCCATAAACCCTTCCCTCATTTTACCATACTGGTGAAACCAAGATATATTGCCTTGATTCATAGTGTCATCTAGGTTGATGCTTGCAGTACTTTTAATTTAAAAAAAGAAAATTCTGTTCATTAATATCGCTACCTACAACAGACTTACCAGTGTATTGTTTTTACACATTATTTCATTTTTCTGTTATAAATTGTATTACCATACCGTTTTTCGTAAAACTTTCATTTTATGAAAGTTTTTTTACAGACAAATTTTTCAAATAGCTACTTTTTTACTGGAATATTTTTCAAAATCTTAAATATTTTTGTATATAATTTAATCTTTTTGCCATAGAAATAGTAATTTTGAGAATTCTATGACAATGGTTATTTCAGTAGCACTTTTGCCAAGTGGTGACATATTGTTATAGGTTACATTTTATTCACAATTCTTAGCCAAAGGAAATCTTCCAGACATACAGAGATGCATGAATTTTGTGGCCATAATCCAATGTGATAATAAGCTTTAATGGAAATAAAAGCAATACGTGACAGCTTTGTTGATTTTGTTAGTACTGGACATATTATTAGTTTTCAGGAAATTATTGTAGGCTGTATAATTGACATATTTTTGTTTGCATTTTTAGTCCTGGTAGTATTCTGAATTTGGTTATAAAAGATAGGACCATAAATAGCTTAAGATCTTTTGGTCCATCCTTGAGTACCATGACGTTGTATTGTAATATTATAATAACTAGTAATGTGAAACATAACTATACAGAGTGGGCAATCAAAGAAATTCTATTTCAAAAACATATTCATGGAATAAAGGCATATTTTTTACTTTTGGAAGTTATTCCTAAAAAGAGACAATGATGTACAGTGAGAGTCTTTTGGTATTCGGTTGTTGGTGTTTGGTGTCTGAAAAAATTCTTATAACTCAACAAATACTGTTAAGACTGACTTCAAATTTTTACTATGAACATATATAAAGATATTTTGCATAATTCAAGAACTAGTGTAACAACTACTGTTTAGACTGATTTCAAATTTCTACTAGGAACATAATTAAACATGTTATGAGTTCCGACACATTTCTGCCAATATATGTAACCATGGCAACAAATAAGTGGACTTGTAACATTTTGTAACCATTTGCAATAATTTAAAGATTAGTGTTCACATGAAATTTTTATTGTCACAACATATAGATTTTTAACATGTATGTAATGTATTTTTTAACACTTAATTTTTGATGTAAAGTGTCTCAAAAATATATCTCGTAACATTTTGTTGTTTCTCATCTTAAGAATCATATATCTGACTTTGGAAACATGTGCATCATGTGTTTCTGTACCAACCTATACTTGTAAGTCAAGGTGGCATTGGCTTAAAGGTTACTTTACCATAGGTTACATATAATATAAACAATAACAAGTTATCCTTCAGGTCAAATTTACAAGACAACATTGACATACAATTTAGTATTTCTGTCTGAGAAAACATGATGTGATGAAATTGTTGGTTTGAATCAAGGGGTTTATATGAAGTGTCAGTTAGTAGGAGTTAAACATTTCAACCATACCAAGTCAGTTGTTGTCCCAGATGTCTTTATTATTCCAAAAATGAAGTTTAGTTTTGATATTTTGAAGCCCTCCTTCAGTCTGTCTATCTCATAACTTAATTATGTGTAGGTCACACTTGTTTATATTTTCAAGGAATGGTATTTTATTTTCAAAATAGCTGTGTACCTTGTGTGCAAAGTATTTTAGTTTAAAAAGTTATCCAAAAGGAGGATTGAGAGATCTAGGTTAAGAAATCTGGAATTCTGTGTGTCGTTATCATGCATATTCAAATACAAGGATTGCAAATATAGCATGCATCTGAAAATCAAAATAACTACCCAATCAATAGGCTTTTTGAGATTTATCCAAAGTATGCCTTCACAATAACCTGTCTACTAAAAGCTTCTGTTATTTCATTCATGAAATATTCAGAATTTATATCGGAAACGCTGTACCCTATGATTAGGCAAATCTTTTTTGTTCATTAGGTTTCTTTGCCATTTCTAGATGGTCCTATCATTAAAAATGTGCCCTCTCAGTATCATGGTGTTATGTTATGATTTTGTCAGATTCAAAGAGGTTGTTAAACTTTGTAACTCCACTTCACAGTCATGGGGATCTCTTCTATGTCTGGGTCATACCCACGGGGGTCATACTGAGCTGGTCTTATTGAAAATAAACAAATAAATCATCATTTTAGTACATTAAAGGGGCAATAAGGACTGTAGAGAAAATATAAATCATTGAAAATACAAAAATAAATCATCATTTTAGTACATTCAGTAAAACTTAACACCTTTTATACCTGAAAATATTTCACCAAGAGATGTTAATTTTGCATAAAGTATAGGTTGTTGAAATAATTATCCCATCGAACGAAGTTAGGAGGGATATAGGGAACGCCTCCGTCTGTCCGTCCGTACGTACATTTGTCCATCCAGGCAATAACTCAAATACCGATGGCCTGATTTTTTTTGTTCATATTTTGTATACATATACCCTATGGGGGTAGATGTTCTGCTTGAAAGCCAATTTTTAAAATGGCCACTCATTTATAAATGGCGGCCATTTTAGTGCCAATTTTACCGTAATTTAGGTGCAATATGTAAAACTGTAATAGTAATATGTTTTAAATGTAAAAAAATTATAAGGGACATTAATAAAGCTAGAAATGGAGATATTAAAGAAGCACATGGCAGCCATCTTGAAAAATGGTGGCCTTTACTCGTTATTTTACGATTTTTGCTGTAACTTGAAAAGTAGGAGAGCAATTTTGTTCATTTTTGGTATGTGAATACTATAAGCATGGCACACTGTCTAATGCCACTTTTTGGTAGAAGGTGGCCATTTTGAAAAATGGCCGCCATTTTAACATATTTTACTATAACTCGAAAAGTAATGGAGCGATTTTGTTCATATTTGGTATGTACTATAAGCATGGCACACTGTCTAATGACACTTTTGTTGGTCTGTGAATACTATAAGCATGTTACACTGTCTAATGACACTTTTGGTAGAAAGTGGCCATTTTGTTATACTTTGTTTGTGAAAATAACAGCCATGGCTGTTCGATGGGATTTGCTACGCTTTGGCGTTGCTGTTGTCTAGTTCTACTTTATATGGAGCTAATAAAAGTACTTTTTATCTTGTTTTGTTATTTATTAGCTCATTGACTTATGCAATAATATCAGATGAAGGATACTCAAGTAGGCATTTAATTAACTTGTGTATTTGAATGAATTTTGTAAAAAGTGAAACTCCATTGCACTTATTACTTAAAGGCCACATGAAAGTTTGAAAATATATTTTTTCTTTTTCATGAATTTTTGGGGAATTTTTGAAAAAAATATTTTGAAAAAAAGTTGTCAGCTTTTCATTTCTCAAATATTAGAATTTCTTGCCATTTTTCAAATAAAAGTTGAAATATTATTTCCTTAAATATTCCTCTATACAGTGCTTTTTAACACCAATGCAAAGGTTGAATGAAGGACACGCTATTTCAGTTATAAAATCTAATGTGCCACGGAGTTTTTAAGGAACATTCCTTGCCAGACCATTTCTCTCTTGATATGGTAGCTATAATCATATATATACTTTCCGTAGTTTGCAAAACAAGGGAAAATTATTTAATATGGTCAATATTGATAATCTAAACATGCAATGCTCATTTCCAGTAAGCTGCCGTCTTTTACGATTTCATACAGGAAGAGATGCCATAAACTTAACCTTGGAAAGTAGCAAAAATCTCTGTGGTCCTTACTTTCTGTGCAAAATATTTTCAAGGCTTTTCATCTTAGAATAAAAAAGATTATCAGGATTAAATCATAGACAAAATTGAAAAAGAATATTCATCTGGTTTTTAATTTTTAATTCTTAATGGATCCTTAGGGATAACTCAACTATTAAATGGTCCCATACATAAAAACATGCAAATCTTCGGATCAGTTATGAAAAAACTAAGATTTCAGTTACCAAACCACATATACCACGTTATAGCTCCATATGTCCCCCTGGAACTCGAAATGTCTGTAGAAAAAAGAGCCACCAAAATCAAAAGATCTGACCGCTTTTTCTGCCATCTAGACCACCGTCACAAAAAGTTTCCAACAACCATTATCCCGATTTTAAACATAGATTTTTGTCTTCTACCTTTTCAACAGCGACATCTGTGAAGTAATTCCTTACCTGTATGCAAAGTTGTCAGTCGATGACATCACTTCCTGTGTGGAGTATTAAAAGATGGCAGTCTACTGGAATTGAGCAGCACATAGCAGTACTTTATTTTGACCATAACATTTCAAAACATTTTCCTTATTCCGTAAACATGTAAAGTATACTAGTAAAAATGTCCCTTTAGAGGAATTCTGACAATGGGTAAATGTCAAGGCAGCCATTTTGGATTTTCCGTCCTAAAATCTTGTCTACGCGTTTTCCGGTGAACCGTTTGGTAGATTAATTTCAAATTTCCAGGGGTGATTCTTAGTTTGAAAATCTAGATCTGATTAGTTTTTTGGCATTCTGGGTAAATGTCAAGGCAGCCATTTTGGATTTTCAGTCCTTAAATCTTGTCTGTAAAGTCTCGTCTACGCGTTTTCAGGTGAACTGTTTGGTAGATCAATTTCAAATTTTCAGGGATGATTCTTAGTATGAAAATCTAGATCTAATTAGTTTTTTGGCATTCTGGGTAAATGTCAAGGCAGCCATTTTGGATTTTCCGTCCTAAAATCTTGCCTGTAAAGTCTTGTCTACGTGTTTTCAGGTGAACTGTTTGGTAGATCAATTTCAAATTTTTAGGGATGATTCTTTGTATGAAAATTTAGAACTGATTATTAGTTTTTAGGCATTCTGAGCAAATGTCAAGGCAGCCATTTTGGATTTTCCATCCTAAAATCTTGTCTGTAAAGTCTTGTTTACGCGTTTTCTGGTTTACTGTTTGACGGATCAATTTCAAATTTTCAGGGATGGTTCTTAGTATGAAAATCTACAGCTGATTAATTTTTTGGCATTCTGGGTAAATTTTAAGGTGGCCATTTTGCATTTTCTGTCCCAAAATTGTAACAGTAAAGTCTTGTCTACTCATTTTCAGGATAACCATTAGACGGGATCACCCATTGGTGGGGACATATTGTACACATTTGTGTTCTTGTAAATTACATCAATTTCAAAATTTCAATTTGGGTGTTCTATACCCTCATCTCTTGTATATTTAATTGAAATGCACATGGATACACATCAAAATGTTGCAATTCAGTAAGGAAATTCACTGGTGGATCTGGGGGGTCCAGGGGTCCATGCGGTGGGCTCAGAAAAAAGATTTGGCCCAAAAAAGGCCTTAAAAAGTGGGGCATTACTAGGCCTTTTAAGGCCTTATTTTTTTTAATTAAGCCCAAATTTTGAAGAAAATGGACCTTAAATTTTCCAAATTTGGGCCCCCTTGTGTTGGTTCCCAGATCTGCCCCCGAAATTAGTTCTGTTTAAGAATGAACCGGCTCAAATTGAAAGAATATTTCAGTGATGTTGTATAATATATTTTGCAATGTGTGAAAAGAATTTAAGCCCAAGACTCAATGCATTGTGGACTGATTCATTCGATTCTAGAATTGTTTCCTAAACTTATCACTCAATGCTACGTATCTCATACAAAGTTTGAAACAGCACCTAGGAGGAATGATAATCAGTCTACAGTGCACTGAGTCCAGGGCTTAAATCCTTAATTAATTTAGTGAAGTCAAAAGTTGACTTCATGCTTAATACTGTTCTCTCTTTGATTCTTTCTGACTTTAATGCAAAATTATGTACTTGTTATGACTTGTAAAATATGATCAAAATCAGTCAAAATACCTTAATTTCCATCATTTCCATCATCAGTTTTTCATCTATATTAATATGCTCTTCAAACTTAATTTATGAGTATATAATAAATACATATGCATATTTTCATGATGGTTATGGTACAGGAGATGATGAGTTTTTAGTGTCTTATGATGGCTGTAGGAAATTACTGATATATTATAAATACATATGCATATTTTTAGGATGGTTATGGTTTAGGAGATGATGAGTTCTCTGTGTCCTATGATCGCTGTGGGAAATTACTGATATATAATAAATACGTATGCATATTTTCAGGATGGTTATGGTATAGGAGATGATGAGTTCTCTGTGTCCTATGATGGCTGTAGGAAATTACTGATATATAATAAATACATATGTATATTTTCAGGATGGTTATGGTATAGGAGATGATGAGTTCTCTGTGTCTTATGATGGCTGTAGGAAATTAATCTGGCACAATGCTGAAAGCTCCCCTCACACACACAGGTGCTGGAAACCAGGTACACAAAAAATACAAATTTGAAAATGTTTTTTTATTTCATGTATTTATTTTTCATTTTTGCTCACATCATACATATATCCATAGAAGATATCATGTTCTAATCATGTTCTAGTACTTAAACGTAATAATGTTACCTCTTACAAATATTCACAATGTTAGGTGATCTATCAGTTAGTCCTTTTTAATATGATTCATGTGTATTACATACTTGTATGGTAAAAATAAAAACAACTCAAAACATACATTTCTGAAACCCATTAATTCTGCTCTTCATTGTCATTTACCCATATATAAATAAGAAGACAATACAGAATTTAACAAAAGTTACAAGTTTTTAATTAGGATGATTTTTCAACTTCCAATATTTGTCTTTGAGAAAATAAGTGTTCAATTCATATAGTCATATTTTTACAGTACAACTGTGCCAGATATCATTTTACAAGTGACATCTTTTTTACCATCGCTGGCAAATTTGGGTTTTGGAAGAGTCTATTTTCTAGTACTCTTCTTATATCTCATTTGAGTAGCATAGTGATTGCCGGTGTCTTCAGATAAATCATACAGATGTGAGTTGGGCATTGACTCCTGCAGAGATCGACGCATTAATTTCTCAAGTCTATAGGAATCACTGTGCCTCAAAGCTCTTTCTGCTGTATTCAAAGGAACTCCAGAACTTCGACGTCGCATACTTTGACGGGATAATTCTGTAGGGCTTGATATTACACCAAGTCTTAGTTTATGAGAAGCGTTGTTAAATATTTTGTATTTTCGATCAGGACTTTGAGAAATGGTGATGAGATATTGTTCAGTTTTTTTCAAAGCGATTTGGAAAATTATTTTATTTATAGCTCGTCTCCAGTTTGCCATTGCTCTGTCATAAACTGACATGTTTGGTCGGAGTTTCGAAGACATCCTAGATTGACTCCGTGTTATGATTCTGGGCTTCTCATCTTTGCTTTTATTCTGGTCCTCTATACCCATTTTATGAAAGTCTGATAATGTTTTTGACTTGTGTTCAAATGTTTTCAAAAAGGATTCAACCTTATTTTGGAGGACTTTTGAGTCTTCTTCTGCCTTTTCTTTACTTTTTCTTAGAGATTGTTGGAGAAGTCTCTCCTTTGTACTTAGTGATTTTCTTAAAACTTTGGGATTGTTACTTGAATATTTAATCATAGAGTCATCTCTTGAATCACCATTTCTACCATGGGTTTCATAATTCGTGCTTTTTCGGTTGTTTTGGCTGTTGCTTCTGTGAGTCACACTCCCTTTTATAAAATCACTGACAGCGTCCTGTAATTTTATGGGATTAAAGGCTGGACATCTTGGGGACAAGAAACTTTGTGATTCTATAGGAGGAAGCAAGAGTTTAGAATTGTGATCATCGTATCTCTCTATGTCGGCTTGTAAGCTTTCGTGTTTCCCGCTTTGTATGTGTTTGGGGTTGGTATCATCCTCACAATGGTTGATAAAAAATTCCTCAGATTTCGGGCTGGAAGAATCAGTGGATGATGATTTGTATGTCGAGTCTGTTAGATTTGAAAGATTCAGCCTTGGGGTAATTTTTGCTTTGATCGCATCAGCCTGTCTGTCCAAACTTTTTCTTCGCATTATTTTTCTGGCATCTGCCACAGCTGATGGTAACTTATCTGGTAGTGAGATCTTTCTCACGGGTATTACGTTATCTTTATCTAAATAAGATGATTTTGTTTTATAAAAGTTCATCATGATTCTATCGGAGTTATTCAAATCTGACTCAATTCCATTTTCGCCAAATTCCACATTTCCATATTTCTTTTTGTTTCCACCATCAATAAGATATTTCTTTTTGTCCATCTCCAGTATGCGATAATCACATTCAGTTTCGTTTTTCACATCCTGAATATGTTTCATCGTTTGTTCAATTTGAATCTTAAGTTCTTGTTCATGCTTTTTCTGGTGCTTGTCAAATATCATATTTCTAGCTCCAACTTGTCGTTCAAAGACAGTTTTTCTGTTGGATTTTTCGTGGTTCTGGTTAAATGCTATATTATGCGTATCTGTGATCCCCTCATTTTCCATAACAAAATATTCTCCTGCAACAAAGAATGAAACATGAGTCATATTATGTTAAAAATAAAAATACAATATGCTAATTGTTTGTATTCCACAAAATACTGGTGACATATTGTAATGTACGAGTAATTGCAACCATTTCTGTGATTGGCATTCAGTGTTTGGTTTCAGCACTATAACAAGTGGTTACACTTTTTGAATTTCAACCAGGTGGTGAAATTTGGTCATGTTAATGCCTTGTATTCTGGTTTACATGCGGATTAAAATGGAGAAAATGCATTCTGGGAACATGTAAATGTTAACCATGCCTGATCACCATAGTTACAGAACAATAAGAGTTCTATGCATGGAATATTGCATTTATGGAAGATGACATTTTTTTCAATTAGAACCAATCAATTTTTTATTAATTCACACAAATTGAAAAAAATACTTTTTACCAAAAAGATCGGTTAAATACAAATTACAAAAACTATTTTTAGTTCAGTATATAAATAACTAACTTTGTATACTGTATATTTAGCTCTATTTCTATATGATTATCAAATTTAATAATATTTTACCACGCTCTTCTATCGGACCATTTCTCTCCTGCCTTGATTTCAGTCTGTTTTCAAGTGTTCTCCAAAGAATAGAATTATCCATTTTTTCGATATTTTTAATGTTTATTTAATAATTTTAGCTGCAACATTCAGTCTCCTAACTGCTAAATTATATTTCTGAATATATTTAACTATTCAGGCAGATATTGTTTCCAGATTTTTTTTATTAATATGACTTGTTCAGTTTCGCATAATTTTTATTTCAAAGAAATTTTCTTTGTTTTACTCATGGAAAATTTCTTTGTTTTACTCCTGTAAATTGAGTTTAGTTAAATGTTATAATTTTGTATCAATGCCACTCAATATTTATATTGAAATGATAAATGTGCAATTATACATGTGGTTGATAGGATTAAGGATACATTTATCTATATTTGTTGATTACCTAAGTCAATACACACTTTGAACGATCAAAATTAAAAATGTCTTATTTTGTTGGTTAGTTTCTTCAAAACGATGACTCGAAATAGACAGAAAAGGTGTATAAATTTATGGTATCTGTATACAGTATAGTACTATTGATATACTTTTTGAGTCAATTTTAATTTGAACAAACTTATTTAGACTCTTACAGTTAATTTATATGTTCTTTTGGTAACCATTTATTTTTCCATTGATTCCATAAACAAAAATGAAACTAAAATCTTCACTCAAATGTTTAGTAAGAAGCAAAAAACAAACATTTATACAAATTGTGTCAAGAATTTCATGCCAATTTATGATGTGAATGAGCTGATAATTTTTGAATATCTCGGCAGAAATCCCAAATTAAACTAATGGGGACTCTAAAAGTGTATCTAGACTCCATTTAGTGACACAAGACAGTATTAACTAACATTTATCGCTTTTGTCAGGGATCGTGTCCAAAAAATGAAATGCACTTAACTTTTGTTTAACCCTCCCCCATCCTTCAAAATAACAAAATTTGAAAAGGAGATTTGGATTCTACTTTTAATTTTTCAAATATTGATATAATTCACTTATAAAATCAGCATTTATCCTTTCAACCTTACAAATTAAAATCATTCTCTAATAACTGTTTTTTAACACCATCCCTTATTTCTTAACAGGTGTATCATTTTTATCTTGTATAAATAGTGATTATCACACAGTACAAGACAAAGTGGGGGACAATACATGACATTGATAGGACATTTCCATGGCCTTGAACAGAGATTAGTATGTCTGTCCAGGGCAGTCAGCCCATAAAAGGCAATTAGGCCATAGAGGCAGTCTGTCCAGGGCAGTCAGCCCATAGAGGCAATCAGCCAATAGAGGCAGTCAGTCCATAGAGGCAATTAGGCCATAAAGGCAATCAGCCCATAGAGGCAATCAGCCCATAGAGGCAGTCAGCCCATAGAGGCAGTCAGCCCATAGAGGCAATCAGCCCATAGAGGCAGTTAGCCCATAGAGGCAGTCAGTCCATAGAGGCAATCAGTCCATAGAGGCAATCAGCCCATAGAGGCAATCAGCCCATAGAGGCAATCAGCCCATAGAGGCAGTTAGCCCATAGAGGCAGTCAGTCCATAGAGGCAATCAGTCCATAGAGGCAATCAGCCCATAGAGGCAATCAGCCCATAGAGGCAATCAGCCCATAGAGGCAGTCAGCCCATAGAGGCAGTCAGCCCATAGAGGCAATCAGCCCAAAGAGGCAATCGGCCTATAGAGGCAATCAGCCCGCCCATAGAGGTAATCAGCCCATAGAGGCAGTCAGCCCATAGAAGCAGTCAGCCCATAGAGGCAATCAGTCCATAGAGGCAGTCAGCCCATAGAGGCAATCAGCCCATAGCGGCAATCAGCCCATAGAGGCAGTTGAGGCAATCAGCCCATAGAGGCAGTCAGCTCATAGAGGCAATCAGCCCATAGAGGCAATCAGCCCATAGAGGCAGTCAGCCCATAGAGGCAATCAGCCCATAGAGGCAATCAGTCCATAGAGGCAGTCACCCCATAAAGGCAATCAGCCCATAGAGGCAGTCGAGGCAATCAGCCCATAGAGGCAATCAGCCCATAGAGGCAATCAGCCCATAGAGGCAGTTAGCCCATTGAGGCAGTCAGTCCATAGAGGCAATCAGTCCATAGAGGCAATCAGTCCATAGAGGCAATCAGCCCATAGAGGCAATCAGCCCATAGAGGCAATCAGCCCATAGAGGCAGTCAGCCCATAGAGGCAATCAGCCCATAGAGGCAGTCAGCCCATAGAGGCAATCAGCCCATAGAGGCAATCAGTCCATAGAGGCAGTCAGCCCATAGAGGCAATCAGCCCATAGCGGCAATCAGCCCATAGAGGCAGTCTGCCCATAGAGGCAATCAGCCCATAGAGGCAGTCAGCTCATAGACGTAATCAGAAAATTGAGGCAAAAACTGTTATTTGAACTGTTGTTACACCCTCCCCCAAAGTTTATTTTTAGAATTACCTTTTAATACAGTACTTTGGTAGTTTAATATAATACACATTCTTGCCTTTATCAGTCATGATCTTCAGGTCTCAGATGAAAAAAAAAGTATTTATGAATAAAAACAAATTTCCATTTAACTTACCATTTGGGCCGATATTTTGTATATGAAATGAGATGAGAGGGAAGTCGCACACCAACATCTTGGTCATCTCATCAAATGAGGCATCCATTTTAGGTGTTAGTTTTTATAATTGATGTTTGCTATAATGGAATCTAGTCTCCGTGCTTTCCCTGTGGTGCCTTTCCTCTTCTTGTTCGATGATTTTCTCAGATGCATTAAAAGTTATATTTCAATATCAAAAAGATATGATAATGTGTTTTAGATTTTCATACATTTTTTAAATGTCATCATTTCTAATAAGATGTTATTGTTTATCCTGTTTCTCAACAGTTCCATCAGTATTTCATTTAAGAGAAATTGAATATTACTGTATAACACAAGCAGTATATCCATTTTCATTCTGAAGGATTAAGTAATTTATATCCAGCTTAATTCTTGATGTGCCTGAAATATATCTATTGTATTAGGAAAGTTTACCATAGAAAGCATCCCCGCTGCTATGGTATTGGAGATTACTGATTTCAAAATATTGGAAATGGTTTTATTTCTCAAACCTTGATTGCAATCATTGGTAACACACCCTGGTAAAATCTTGTTATATTTAAGGAATAAAGACCTCAATTTTATGATTTATGTATATTTGACATAAATCATAGAAACGAGCTCTTTGTAACAATTCTAATTTGATAAACAAACCAAAAAACAACTAAATTTATTTGCATTCATGAAATTCAGCAGTCATACATACTTGATTGTAGACCAGTATAAATCATTGTTCTAGTTTTTGTGACATTATGTATCATATTAGAATGTTGAAAATGTGAATTTTGTTGGGTTCTCTCTATAAGAAATTCCTTTTAAAAATATTTTGGTCGTGTGCAAAACTGGTCCTGTTATACTTTTCAATTATTTTTTAACTTACTGCTGATAGGTGCTGTTATACTTTTCAATGATTTTTTAACTCGCTGCTGATAGGTGCTGTTATACTTTTCAATGATTTTTTAAATCACTGCTGATAGGTGCTGTCATACTTTTCATGATATTTTCACTTGGTGCTGATAGGTATTCAACTGGTTGAAAGATCATTAACAAATTCAAATGTTTGCGGCACCTGCTTGTGTCATTATATAACTTTGATAGTAAATAATATAACTAAAAAGAATTATAAACATGATGTAATTAAAAACTGTACAGTATTTACATGTATTTCTACCAATATATTCAACTATGAAGTTTAATTGGTTCCACAGCCATTTTGAGAAATCATTACGACATCTTTGCTCCACTAAACTCCACTAAATATATTTCTATTAGCTCTCACATATCTATATTTATATTTCCAGGTGATGTACTAGGACTACTATTAGATCTGGAAAACCAAGAAATGATATTTTCACTCAATGGGGAGTGTCTCAAACCATGTAATGATGTCTTTCAGGAAGTAAAGTAAGTTAAACGATGACATATTCCATTAGGTTTTCATGAGCAAGCCATTTGACGAATCAGTTATCATGGTCATTGTTTCCAAACATTTTTTTCGTGAATCGGATGACTGTTAGATTAGATGTTTGTATGCTACTTTCAAAAATGTACATTACAATCCAGTCAGGCCATTATAGTCGCCTATGCATTTCTATGTGTTGTACATGTAATGTTTATTGTATTGAACCAAACATCACCTGGGAGGAGGCTAGTGTAATCTCTTGTCTTCGTCTCATTCACCCCTTTGATCTACCATCAATCCCTACTCACCGACTTTTCCCCCCTTTCCCTTCCTTGATCCCTGATTTGGCTTGAATATTTGAAGTTATCATTACAGCATTATACATTTTTTAATTTCAGGTCAGGATTTTTCGCTGCAGCCAGTTTTATGTCCTTCCAACAGTGTGCCTTCAACTTTGGGAGCCAGCCATTCCAGTACCCTCCCTCCCGGGAATTCTGCAGTTTTAACCAATATGGTAGCTTAGAGGATGAGGACAAAGTGATATTACCAAGGTATTATAAGCATTCTCCTTGCTTCAGTCAGTGCAATTGTTTGTCATTCTTACCTCTGTAGATATCTCTCTTTTGCTAAATGTAACTAGTGTTATTTTGGATCTTCTGATGTTCCATTCTGTGAAACGAAGTTTGATCTGATATATCAAATCTTTTCAGGTATTAAATTTGGAATGATAAGGAATACATTGTTATATTGTAAGTCAGAAAACAATGACTTTTTCAATAAGGGTGAATTCTTTCGATCTTTTTTATGTATCGAACACCTACATGTACACAAGAACTTGCATTTCAGGCACAAAAAGCTTGCTTTGTTGCGTGATGTAGCTATAAAGGAAGACTCGTGTTCTCTGTGTTTTGACAACCAAGCAGATACAACCCTTGAACCTTGTCATCACAGGTAGATTTGAATTTTGTTTAAGGATGGTGGTCAAACATTGACAGTTGTGAAAAAAGTCAATTTGTTATACAGTAGTTTTAACCCCTGTCCATCCCCCTCCCCCATATAGAAAAACTGTAGAATATTGATTTGCCTTGCACTTGAATTTTCAAAATTTCAAATGAAATTACCCTCTCCTTTAGCAAAATTAACTGTGTTACTCTACAACCTGACATTTTGACACCATCCATTACTACCATTTTATGTTTTGTTTTCTATAAACCGTGATTTTATGTTATTTAGATAGGTACATACATGTAGATTTTAATGAAACCTTTCATTCAAATGACATTAGAGTTTTTTCCTCATGGAAACTGCGTTGTCTCCTTCATTTAAAATGACTAAATCAAATCATGCTGCGTTAGTTACCTCAATTTGAAATATCATTTACCTTTTCAGTGGTTTTTGCCGTGAGTGTGCCAATCAGCTTGAGATATGCCCGTTATGTAGAACAGACATTGGAGAGAGATCTACGCTTGATAATACCTAGCACATATCAAAATCTACTCTTGTGTAATGTTTGTGAAACCCATCATATGACTTAAAATCAAGCTGAATGCCACAACCAGAGATGAGAGGGGTGTATTTCAATGTCCACTTGGCCTTACTCTCTGGCCTGTAAGGTTAATGTCCAACCAAATGCCAAAACTTCAAAAAGATAGATAATAGCGATAGGGGAGTATTGAAAAAACACATATGGTTAATACACTCGCTTGTATTCCAATGTCACCATGGACGTAAACTCCGACTTGAGAGGCAATGATCCAACTGAATGTCAATGCTTCAGAGATTGAGGAGTATTGAAATAAGACAGGTCTGAGTTACACCCCCCGTAATTTAATGACCTGGCCTGATCATTTAATTTTCACAATTACGTTTCTAAGAGGCCTGCGTTTGAAACTTTGATCCAACTGAATGCCAAAGATAGATGAAGGGGAGTCATGAAGTAACACATGTCTAAATACACCACCCTGTAATTGTACATGTATCATGTTGTACTGTAGTGTAATCCAACCTGTACTTCAACTGAATGCTTCAATATTCTTTGTATATAATTTTTGGTGTAAAGACCTGTCATATTTGACAAATCTCGAGTCTTTCACGATTGGTACTATATAGGGATCAAACTTATTTTACATGTTCTTCACAATGGGGTGGAAATCAAAGCAATTATTGAAATACATGTATAAATAAATGAATGTTAAATAATGTGAATTTCTTTGTAATATCAGCACCCATATATATTTTAGGGTTTATTTATGGAGCTTTTATATACATTATATTTGTACAGAAATTATATAGCTTTGAAAATGGAAAGTATTAAAGCTACAAGTCAGTTCTGCCACATTAGTCTCCAGGCAATTCATTCAGCGCTGTCATACCTTCTCCCTTGCAGATGTTTTTTTTTATTGTATTTCTTTATTTCAAATTATAACAATCACAAATACATTAGCGGCTTTGAAAGGTATATTATAAGCCACTTTTAAGATGATGATTCCCAAAGTCAGGTCTGCAAATGATCTGATCTGCACATGTTTAATTCGTAATTGTTAATAAATGTGTACGTTAAAAACAGAAACATGAAATGTGTACATTTAAAACAGAAAAAGATGTAAAAATGATTGGCACTCTTATTTCAATGTGATTGAATGACATCATTTCCTAGCAATGGGTGGATTCCCATTCCCGGGAATAAGTGAATTTAGGATCTGCAGAGGGATGAGCAGGAATACAATGAATGGGTTACTATGGAGATATATTGTTAAAGTATACATTTCCTGGACATGTAGAGTATATGGGTACATTTAGCGTTGTGTCTTACATACAGAGAACATGGGTACATTTAGCGATGTGTCTTATTCGTAAGACACCCATGTGCCACTTTAGGTTCTGCACATGGTAAAAACAGTTTGTAAAAAGTGTAATAAGATATAAATACTCCTTTTAAGACAATGGTATGATTTATGAAATGGTCTACTGTAAATTGCTTTAATCTGGCGCTGTTTAATTTTGCAGATTGGGCAAATTTTGAAATTTTGGCTGCTATTTAATTTGGAGGATCGACCATCATCAATCGTATTGCTCACTTCACAGCTCGCGACTGAAAATGTAATTTTATTCCTTCTGGTATCAGATTGTTTTATCTAAACTAGAGGAAACTTTGTAGAGATCTTCGGAAATAGTTTTTAAAATTGACATTTTATCCATATCAAGATTTTAACTAAAGTTTTATGGTGCAAGGTAACACATGGAAACGGCACTGGATTTTCATTTTCCAAAAATTGCCCGTTTTTATCAATCCACCAAATTAAAACTGCTGTCAAATTTTAAGCAATTTACAGTATTCAGTGTGATATTATATTCTTCTATTAAGATTTGTGAGTTTTGTATGGTAGGCTTTAGTATTCCAAAGAACCAGTACCAATAACATGCTAAAGATTCAAGATTATAAACAGAGTTTAAATTGCAATATACAGTACACAATATTGGAGGAAAATTATTGGGTAAATGTATAGTTCATAACTTAAGTTTGTTAATTGTAAATAATATAAGGAACCCTATAACATAAGAATCATTTGTATTCTTGTCTATTATAAAGATACATGGTGGAATACAAAGATGATAAAATGTTTTTTTGTTATTAAATATTTACAGATGTGATTTGACATTACAGTAAAACCTGTATCAATCAAATACCTGGACTATGTTCAACTTGCAATGTGTTTAGAATGTAGAGATCAGTATAGGACTTAGATAAAAAAAAAAGTGTATAACAAATAATGAAAATTTGTAATTTATATTCGTACTACGGCCACAAGCATTTTGCTTTTCTCGTAAACAGATGTTGTGTTCATTTGAACGTAACCTGACAAATGGTATAGAAATCAGTATGTCAATAATTTTGGGTGTTTGTGACTTCTGCATAACTTACAGTCCTGGTGTAGAAGTTGATAAACAGTAAGGAGTCAACTTCCCAATTCGTAGATTTAGAGGTTAAACAATATTCTGTAATTGATTCATTATTGTAAAGTTTTATAAGCTCGGAAAGATTTATTTTATATATGTATTTCAATTACTGTATAGTTTTTGTTTTGTATGTACACATATTATCAAATACGCTACTTTTACAGAGTGAAAAGATGGAACTATTTTATAGAGATTTGTTTATGGGATCAAGGGAACAACCTTTCCAAAAAGTTTAATTTTTAGAATATTTTGGGTTTTTCATTCCTTGTCATGTCTTGTTCCCAGTTATTCATTAGGAAACTTAAGATTTTTACATTTACATATATCATATTATGGCATATCTGAGAAAGAATGTGAGGGTGGCAATGTTTCATGCATTGGATAAACTTTTTTCAATGCTAATACCTCAGTCACTTTTGATGTAACAACAACAATACGGTGGCTGTAGTTTCACAAAATCGAGAGAAATATGCAGCATAAAATACAGGGATAAGTGGTATGATGTAGATTTTCTGTATCGATTTTGTGAACCTGCGTCCACTGTAGAGCAAATGTGGAATCAACCTTTCCAATAAATCCTGACCTTTTCAGTGGACCAATTAAACTGGAGCATGTTGGCTAGATTTATGATGTCATACTTTATAGGCAGCAATGAATTGTGAACAAAATTGTTAGAAGTTTTGAAACTTGCAAAAAATATAAAATACTGTTTCTAAACTGAAACAACAAGTGACATGATTTAGTGGATTGGTCTGTTCGTGAAATATTCTGATATTATGAGAATTTCTGAGGTTTAGGCCAATTTTGAGAACCAACTTAATGCACCTTTACATGAGAGCTGGGCTATTTCATGCATATGCTATACTCAACCAGAACTCCCCCCCCTCTTTTTCTCCTTTTCCTGCTGGGACAAGGTTAGATTATTGTTGAACATCTAAAATTGTAATTAAAGGAAGAAGGGTTAAAGAGAATAAAATTTTGAAAGCAGTATTTTCAAAAAAGCATGCCATTGTTCAGTTGTTTCCCTTGCAATCAATAAAAGGGAATGTCCTTTTTGCCAAATAAGGAAGTATTATCCTGAAATAATGTCAGAACTGTTACTATTTAAAAAGACATGACAAGTAGTGGTGAGACCAAAATATTATAAAATTGTGACAGTGTTTTCTTTTTTTCCATTTCCTCTAATTCCTTCACTGATTTTTTAAAAAAAAGTCTTGAAAATATTTTTAAAAATCAATAAAGTTTTGATGCATTGTCAGTGTTATTAATTACATAAAGGGACAACATCAATTTTTGATATTTTCCCCTACAGTGCAGTTGTATAAAGAGATATTGGGATATTCAGATCTTATCATTTTTATTATGTCACCACCAGAAGTGATGACATATTGTTATAGTTTCCAATTTTTTGTGGATGGCATTAGCGTCTTAAAAAAAATATGGCATCTGTAACAAATGGCATGTGGTGACATTTTGCATGTTAATGCCTTGTTTCTATTTCCCATCATCAAATATTACTTTAAATATGATTACTATTGTATTACCGTATGTTATATTTGTATGTTACTTATGTGATATTATTGAAATATAATAAACTATAATTATTTTCTAGAAAAAATAGGATTTTTTGTTGATTATAATTCATACTGAGATGAATTATAACAAAATAAAGACCCAAGTTTATTTTCACCTGCCTACCTTAAAAGAGTAGTATATCCAAATGTTTTTCTCTATTTGTATTGCTTGAACAGATTATACACAACCAATTTCACCAGTCAGATCTAGAGCCTGTTGTTGGCCAAAAATACTTTCAAAATCATGCAGTTTTCATCATTTTGAGCACTTTCAAATGTTTTTCGGCCAAAATTGTGAAATTTGAGGTACCCTGGGACTTTTTAAAAAATGAAGCCCTTCAGTGTCTATTTTGAATAGAAAAAAGTCAGTTGACCCTAAAGTTCTACTTTAATGTTTTTATTATCGATTTTTCAAGTAGACCAGAGTGCTACATAAACATAAACAAGCTAATGTTGTAATGTTTATTTATCATTGACTAAAATCAAATTATAAAACTAGTTAAAGAAGTATAGGATTTGTCTGATTTGTGAAAGAAAACAAAATAATATATGTAATTAAAATACAATTAGTTGATCAGTTGATTTACTAATGTTATTACATTTGTATTATAGAGTCTAGACAGGTTTTTGTTTATTTCAGATATAATTTGAAGAATTGTAGATTTGAGAGAAAATATATCATTGGATCTTACAATATGACTCATGAATAAAGACTGCTATATAGCTTTGAGAGTTTTTAATGAGATTTTAGGAGATCTGTATTTTAAGAAAATTCTGTGTGTACAACCATTATAACCATTGTAATTTTCTATTAAAATAACTTTGATTTACACAGTTATTTTCTGAAAAGTTTTCTGAAAATTGTTTGTGAAATCCCTATTGGCACAATGTTTAAAAAAACTTAAATGTTCTTTTAAAGCAACTACTCATATTCCTTTTAATGTTTTCATTTCTTTAAAGTACCAAATGCAAAAACCTGAAAATAAACCTTAAAAACTCATTTTACATCATCAATTTCATGTAATCAGCCCATAGTAGAACTTCCACCATCTTTGTTTTTAATTTGATTATAAATAAAGTTTAAAATGAAAATATCTCCATAAAATAATGGAAATGAAATTTCCTCAGTTTTTATTCAGGTTTTTGTGAAAGTGCAGGACGACCTAAAACTGAATTGTTATAAAGTCAAGTAAATTTAAAATTCTTCATTCATATGATTATAGACTACACAAACTAGTAGTTTAGTTTAATGGGAGGATGTATTGCGTTAAAGCAGGCCCGTAGCCAGGATTTACCAGGGGGAGCAGTTTTACCAAGGGGGGGGGGTTGCCAAGAGAGGAGCTTTTTGACAGTTTTGGCAAAAAATCATGCGAAAAGTGCTCAATGATAATGTCATTTCAGAACTTAGTTTTTGTTTGTGTATTTATTTACCATTTCTCAGTTTCAAGTCTGCAAAACATATGGGTCAATGGATTTGTACTGATGAAAGCCCATGGTCTAGAATGTTTATGTAAAATAATTTGTTGATTTGAAGAGAATGTTGTTGAACTATTGAACGCTGAATTTTTGTTGGTAATAGTACACCTGGATTTCAAGTTGTAACACAGATGCAACGTAAAAAACGTGCAGTCCTTGAATACAGGTAGGTCAATGTTTGTAGTATTTGCACTTGTTCAACTTTCATTCATAAAAATCAGCTGTGAAATGTCAAAGTCCTCGTTAGTTTCCGTTGTGGCTCGGACTTTTCCGTACAATGACGTCAATTTAATTAGCTCCAATCAGCAACAGCTTTACAAATGCCCGAACCAATCACGAGAGACGTTACAACCCTCGTGGTTTTTCCAATATGGCGGGTGAGTACTCCTCAATTTTTCGTGAAAAACTCTGAAATAAAACCATGATTTCAGCCATTGAACTGTATTTTCGTTATTTTCAGATATCGATTTTTTTCAAGACAACCAGGACGATTCACAAGAGGATGGTGAGTAAACCAGTTCATTAACAGTTCATGAGAAAAATCAGCTTCAAAATAGGGTAAAAATCGCGAAATTATCAAAAAGTTTTGAAATGATGATTTTGATGCAGCCATATTTGTGCACTCAACACATGGCTAGAACCACCTGTAGTTACGTTTTATACTTATAGTCACTCTTCAGGATAGTTGTTCTTCGCATGTGTATACATGGGAGACGTTGTGTTCATTAGTATTGTTATGAAAAAAGGACAAGAAAATTTGAAATTTTTTTAGACAGGAAGAGGAAATATGACAAATCATGTGACCTACTTCAGTCATTGACCTATAGCTTTTGTAACAGTTTGGCCTTTTTTGTGGATATGTGGTAGTGTGGCTAATAAAAAGACCACTGTTTAGTAAACGGTGTTTACTTGTGGATTGCACGGCACACGTTAAATGTGCTTTGTCCCTAAAGAAATAAACAGAATATATAATTTTATATATATATAATACAAAACAATATATTGTGGCGTTTATAAGCCCAAATAAGATGTACATGCAATTTCAAATGTAATGTAAGAATATTACGGTGTTATTATTTCTCTTAAATCTCACAACTCAAAAGTCCATATGAGCTAATAATAATTATCACTGATAAAATAATATCCAGAGTCCATATAAACTGATGATCACTATATAACACTGTTGTATTCCGAATATGCAAAGTTCATGTAAATTGTACCACTTGTACGTCTTGTATTGTTATTGTATCTTGCACCTGGAATAGTAAGCTGAGCGTAACAAAGTCTTGTCTCCTAATTTTGGGAAGCAACTTTACACAAAATTCATAGTACTCATGCTGAAGCTTGGTGTGGATTTTAAAGCAGGGGTTGGCGTAGGGGGTATTGGAACTGCTGGAACAGGCGCTTCTTCGTCTTGAATCTTAATACACACCTGGGAGCATATGACTAACATCAAACATAAAAGTACAAATAAAATTCCACCCACGACCAAGATGATGAAGGGGATATCCAGTTCCATCCACTGTAAACTCAGCAACTGTCTTGTGTCTTGCTTCCAATGAAAATACTAATTCTCTTCACGTTGTTGTAGTATCCTCCACTGTGTTGTAGGATAATTCACCTTTAATTATATGAAATAATCAAAGTCAAACTATCGGCTCTGTAAATGGCTATCTCTTGGATCCTCTTCACTGTGTTGTAGGATAATTCAACTTTAATTATATGAAATAATCAAAGTCAAACTATCGGCTCTGTAAATGGCTATCTCCTGGATCCTCCTCACTGTGTTGTAGGATAATTCAACTTTAATTATATGAAATAATCAAAGTCAAACTATCGGCTCTGTAAATGGCTATCTCCTGGATCCTCCTCACTGTGTTGTAGGATAATTCAACTTTAATTATATGAAATAATCAAAGTCAAACTATCGGCTCTGTAAATGGCTATCTCTTGGATCCTCCTCACTGTGTTGTAGGATAATTCAACTTTAATTATATGAAATAATCAAAGTCAAACTATCGGCTCTGTAAATGGCTATCTCCTGGATCCTCGTCACTGTGTTGTAGGATAATTCAACTTTAATTATATGAAATAATCAAAGTCAAACTATCGGCTCTGTAAATGGCTATCTCCTGGATCCTCCTCACTGTGTTGTAGGATAATTCAACTTTAATTATATGAAATAATCAAAGTCAAACTATCGGCTCTGTAAATGGCTATCTCCTGGATCCTCGTCACTGTGTTGTAGGATAATTCAACTTTAATTATATGAAATAATCAAAGTCAAACTATCGGAATTGACAAAGTTTACGAACGTCTTATATGGCATCAACTGCTAAGTACACAAACTTCCTTCACAATTAAGTAATCAGCCTACCTAAAAATATAGCATGCGCACAACAGCATAGGCAAAAATATTACAAGTCAAAATATGTGCCCTTGAAAATAACTAAGTTCAGTTAATGTTGAGTTATACTGATATTGAAATATTCTAAGTTCAATATTTATTCTCCAAAAAAAACAAAGTCCAAAATAATGTTTCTCCAAATATTGACTAAGTTCAATAATTTTATTCCCAAAAATACGCAAAGTCCAATTTCATGTGTTCATGAAATTGAACTGACAGAGCTCAGAAATCTAGTATAGGCTTGATGCTGCCTCCAAACATGGTACTGAATATTCCCTCTTGAGGTATCCTCTACACAAATACACGGGTAGATGGCCAAGTTATCATCTACAGAATCACGGTGTAGCAGTCTTCCCTCTCAGGTATCCTTCATCACAAGTAGATGTCCAAGTTATCATCCACTGAACTGAAGTGCAGCTATGTATCTCCTATCTGCCTCGGGAAATATTCAAAGTCCCAACAACTTTCTACTGAAAATTGTCAAAGTCCAAAAATATTTCCTTGAAAAATGACTAAGTCCAACTTCACATAAAAATATGAAATTGAAACGGAGCTCTGTCCCGAACGAAAGCTAGCTGTAATCTGCTGAGCGCTCTCAGCTCGCTGCTTATATACCCAGCAGCGGTGCGGCAATGACGTCATCCACTTGTTTACATCAAATTCCAACTTCATACGATTGCAAGCTAAATAACGCCAAAATTACTCCCAAACATGAAATATAAATGAATTTAAATTACAGAGACATGAAATATAGCAACAATTATGCACAGAATGACATAATAAAGAAGCTTTAATGAGTTAAAGTTATCCTCATGAATTTAATTCCAAAATGGCCTAGCGCCGCAATTCTCAACTTGATCTCTATATATCTCGAAAAGTATACGCTAATTCTATTCCAAAGTTACTCAATCAAAACTTGAGATCGTTAGTTATACTAATCTATCAAAACTATATAGAAATAAAGGCAAACTAACCTGTATTGGAACGATATGAGGGGACGATTCAAAATGCCGCACTAAAAACGTTGGTGGTGGTTACTGGATTTCAACTACCCAAACGTGAAACGAAAACACTAATTATATTGAAAATATACGAAATGACCGGAAGTAGCCAGTTAAACATGGTAAACAATTCACATACACAATTGTTAGACCAAGTAGGAATAAAAATAATTGCCCAAATATGTGTATAACTAGCAAGCTCAACTATAACCGGGGAGATTGCTGATAAAGTGCTGAAAACCTCCAAATACTAAGACCATAAAATTTTTGAAAAAAATAATTTGTTACACTCCTCCCATCCAATGATTTTGGTGTTTACAACACCAAGTCCAAAGCACGCAAAAAATAACAAATTATTTTAAGAAAATATACTATATTACGACTGGTGAGGTAGTTTCACAGGCTTAATCATTATAAAAAATAAAATAAAAAACTTCTCTTAAATTACTGTGCATAGAAAATATAAAATTGTATATAAAAAGTATACGCTAATTCTATTCCAAAGTTACTCAATCAAAACTTGAGATCGTTAGTTATACTAATCTATCAAAACTATATAGAAATAAAGGCAAACTAACCTGTATTGGAACGATATGAGGGGACGATTCAAAATGCCGCACTAAAAACGTTGGTGGTGGTTACTGGATTTCAACTACCCAAACGTGAAACGAAAACACTAATTATATTGAAAATATACGAAATGACCGGAAGTAGCCAGTTAAACATGGTAAACAATTCACATACACAATTGTTAGACCAAGTAGGAATAAAAATAATTGCCCAAATATGTGTATAACTAGCAAGCTCAACTATAACCGGGGAGATTGCTGATAAAGTGCTGAAAACCTCCAAATACTAAGACCATAAAATTTTTGAAAAAAATAATTTGTTACACTCCTCCCATCCAATGATTTTGGTGTTTACAACACCAAGTCCAAAGCACGCAAAAAATAACAAATTATTTTAAGAAAATATACTATATTACGACTGGTGAGGTAGTTTCACAGGCTTAATCATTATAAAAAATAAAATAAAAAACTTCTCTTAAATTACTGTGCATAGAAAATATAAGTATATATATATATATCATCTTTATAAAGTCTCTGGAATAAGTTCAGTAACTTGTGATACTCTCATGGTAAACTGTCTCTTAACTATGTCTCTAACACTGCTGACACAGCAACTACTTATCTACATAATATACTTCTAAGAAACGTACTATATTCCATGATAATCACTTAGTCTATCATAAAATTACACATCACATGTCTTCATGTTGATCAAGAATGTCTCTTTCGAAGTTATTCACTTTGTCTTTCACATATCACCTATCCTGGATTGTAGGTTTTATCGTAAATGTCTTTCCATGTTAATCACAGTCTCTCACGTATCACATACTCCACATAATCTGTATGTTACTCATTAATGTCTTTCAGTGTTAATCACAGTCAATCACATATCATGTACTATCTTTAATCCGTGTGTTGTTTATTAATATATATCCATGTTAATTATGCAGTCTTTCATATAACACATACTCTTTAATCCACATGTTTTTCATAAATATCTTCCCATGTTAATTACACAGTCTTTCGCATATCTTTATAAAAACTAAGACAGTCTTGTGTTCTACATTAATCACTGCTATCCTTATCAAATCACACTGCTACGTTCCAGATAATTTCTTAACATCTTTATGTCTTTATATCCTTAATAATCCATAAACTAAACTCCGATATAACAAAAGTAATCAGTCATACTTTAATGTCCTTTCCATCATATTTCTAGGTTTTTCAATCAATTGGTAACGTCCTTATCTATATTTCCAACAAAACGAACCCAACTCCTGTAACAACTAATACTGTAAAGGTTAACACTTAAATTTTCAGACTGGCATACCTAGTGACCAGAGTTTCATCCTCGAGGACGCTTCCATCTCTGGCGTAGTAACGGAATCTTATCTCCATCTTGATAGGGTTGTTTACTGTGCCCTTCTTATAAGGCTCATACTCCTCTGTTTCGACGTCCTCCTCCTCTAACCTTTCTAATACTACTTTGGCTGTTTTGGTTATTTTCTTACTCTCATCCTCATCTGAA